GTAGCAGTAGCAGTAGTAATAGTAGTAGTAGTTATGATATATGTTTATTTCCACTAAGCACAGTACAATAACACATTAAGAGTTGGGTACAGAGTATTAGATTTATTGAAATTATGTTTTATTGTACATTTATAAAACAAGCCGCACATTGTTATTACTGTTATTTCTCTGCACCAGTCTTCAGTGAGAGTGAGACTGCTGCCCCTGCTGCTGCCCCTGGTACTGGTTGTACTGCTGGTTGTACTGCTGCCCTTGGTGCTGGTGCTGCTGGCCCTGGTGCTGGTACTGCTGGGCCTGGTGCTGGTACTGCTGGCCCTGGTTCCCCTGCTGCAGGTGTCTGCTGTTGCTGCTAAGCAGTTTGGGGTAGGCCGTCTGGATGGAGGCTCCGTGTCTGACGACCACCAGCTCCATCTGACACTGGTCGATGTTGACCAGGACCGTGGTGCTCTTCTCTGTGCTCAGCAGGAACAGCACAGTGTACAGAGCCATCTCAAACTCAGGACTGGTCCCAATGAAGGCACTGCCCACAGGCTTCACCACGCCGTGCCACGTGAACTGCAGGTTCAGCACATGGTCGTCCTGGTCCGGCTGCGGAGGACACAGACCAGTGGTCAGGAAGTGGGTGGTCCTGTTCCCTCTGCTCTGCTCTGCTCTGCTCTGCTCTGCTCTACTCTACTCTACTAATGAGCAGTACAGTAGAGTAGAGCAGAGTAGAGCAGAGTAGAGTAGAGCAGAGTAGAGCAGAGTAGCAGAGTAGAGTAGAGTAGCGCAGAGTAGAGTAGAGCAGAGCAGAGTACAGTAGAGCAGAGTAGAGCAGAGCAGAGCAGAGCAGAGTAGAGTAGAGTAGAGTAGAGTACAGTACAGTACAGTAGAGCAGAGTAGCAGAGTAGAGTAGAGTAGAGCAGAGCAGAGTAGAGTAGAGTAGAGCAGAGTAGAGTACAGTAGAGCAGAGTACAGTAGAGCAGAGTAGAGTACAGTAGAGTAGAGTAGAGCAGAGTAGAGAACAGTAGAGCAGAGTAGAGCAGAGTAGAGAACAGTAGCGCAGAGTAGAGTAGAGCAGAGCAGAGTACAGTAGAGCAGAGTAGAGCAGAGCAGAGCAGAGCAGAGTAGAGTAGAGTAGAGTAGAGTACAGTACAGTACAGTAGAGCAGAGTAGCAGAGTAGAGTAGAGTAGAGCAGAGCAGAGTAGAGTAGAGTAGAGCAGAGTAGAGTACAGTAGAGCAGAGTACAGTAGAGCAGAGTAGAGTACAGTAGAGTAGAGTAGAGCAGAGTAGAGAACAGTAGAGCAGAGTAGAGCAGAGTAGAGAACAGTAGAGCAGAGTAGCAGAGTAGAGTACAGTAGAGCAGAGCAGAGCAGAGTAGAGTAGAGTAGAGTAGAGTAGAGTAGAGTAGAGTAGAGTAGAGTAGAGCAGAGTAGAACAGAGCAGAGCACAGTAGAGTAGAGCAGAGTAGAGTAGAACAGAGCAGAGTAGAGCAGAGCAGAGCACAGTAGAGTAGAGTACAGTAGAGCAGAGTAGAGCACAGAAGAGCAGAGTAGAGCACAGTAGAGCAGAGTAGAGCACAGAAGAGCAGAGTAGAGTACAGTAGAGCAGAGTAGAGCACAGAAGAGCAGAGTAGAGCACAGTAGAGCAGAGTAGGGCTGGTGGAAACAGGGCTATAGACAGAATGTGTGACTCACAAAGTCCTGGTGTCCAGACTTAAATCCTTTATAATCCAGGTCCAGAGCTTTCTCCTGGAGGTAAAACTGGACCCAGTTGTGGAAACCAATCAGTTCGTTTCCAGAGCGAGTTTCTCCCACAAAGACGTGCTCGAAGCCGCAGGAGTCCAGCCTGGAACAGTATTCACATGTGTGTCAGTGACTGTCAGAGCTCTGACTGCAGACGCTGCTCACTCACTGGCTGTTCCTCTGGCGCCGGTAAAGATGGAACCAGATCCGGTTCAGTTTGTTCTTGAAGCTTCTCACGTCGGAGCTGACGAGGCGTTTGGTCACCAGGAATTGATGGGCACGCTGTGATGTCACAGGTCACATGTTAGCACGTTGTCATGTCACATGTTAACACGCTGTGATGTCACATGTTAACACGCTGTGATGTCACATGTTAGCACGCTGTGATGTTATGTTGAAGCAGAGTTTCAGACTTATGTCTTCCTGAAAATGTGAGACGGACTTCTTCTCTGATGATGTTTAAAGACCTTATCAGGGCCTTTTCTGGGTCTGTGTTTGTCTCTTTGTCTGAGGCTCAAACATGTGCTAAAGGTGTGAGACATGTGCTAAAGGTGTGAGACATGTGCTAAAGGTGTGAGACATGTGCTAAAGGTGTGAGACATGTGCTAAAGGTGTGAGACATGTGCTAAAGGTGTGAGACATGTGCTAAAGGTGTGAGACATGTGCTAAAGGTGTGAGACATGTGCTAAAGGTCTGAGACATGTGCTAAAGGTCTGAGACATGTGCTAAAGGTCTGAGACATGTGCTAAAGGTGTGAGACATGTGCTAAAGGTGTGAGACATGTGCTAAAGGTGTTAGACATGTGCTAAAGGTGTGAGACATGTGCTAAAGGTGTGAGACATGTGCTAAAGGTGTGAGACATGTGCTAAAGGTGTAAGACATGTGCTAAAGGTGTGAGACATGTGCTAAAGGTGTGAGACATGTGCTAAAGGTGTGAGACATGTGCTAAAGGTGTGAGACATGTGCTAAAGGTGTAAGACATGTGCTAAAGGTGTAAGACATGTGCTAAAGGTGTGAGACATGTGCTAAAGGTGTGAGGCTGAGACAAATGTATTAAAACATAATTCTTCAATAATATAGAGGATAATTTTTGCCGGACTTATTTCAGATTGGCATTAATTGATTAATTATTATAAATTATCTGGTCTTGCAATTTTGATATCCACAAATTATTGGACAAACCCTCAATAACGACTTTATCTTTGATCTTTAAAGTTGTGTGTGATCTGTGCTAAACAAATAAACCATGTGGACCTTTGATGTTTGTCTTTGTGGAAGGAATGCGGTTTGGACTCGGGACACATGGTATAACACACATGGTATAACATACATGGTATAACACACATGGTATAACACACACATGGTATTTTACACACATGGTATAACACACATGGTATAAAACACACATAGTATGACACACATGGTATAACACACACATATAATTATAAACACATGGTATAACACACATGGCATAATACACAGATGGTATAACACACACATGGTATAACACACACATGGTATAACATACACATGGTATAATACACACATGGTATAATACACACATGGTATAACACACACATGGTATAACATACACATGGTATAATGCACACATGGTTTAGCACACATGAAGGTACCTTCATGACTGGAGTCTGTACCACTGAGTTAGAGTTAGGTACCTTCATGACCGGAGTCTGTACCACTGAGTTAGATTTTCGGTACCTTCATGACCGGAGTCTGTACCACTGAGTCAGAGTTAGGTATCTTCATGACCGGAGTCTGTACCACTGAGTCAGAGTTAGGTACCTTCATGACCGGAGTCTGTACCACTGAGTCAGAGTTAGGTACCTTCATGACTGGAGTCTGTACCACTGAGTCAGAGTTAGGTACCTTCATGACCGGAGTCTGTACCACTGAGTCAGAGTTAGGTACCTTCATGACCGGAGTCTGTACCACTGAGTCAGAGTTAGGTACCTTCATGACCGGAGTCTGTACCACTGAGTCCACGAACTTGTTGATTTCCTGCAGTTCTTCGGTCGTGACAGTTTCAGCGACTCCCGTCGATCGTTCGTAATTATTTAACAGTTTAATCAAATCTGGACAAAGAAGAAGAAGGTACACAATAACACACAACACACACACACACACAGACAGACACACACAGACACAGACACACACAGATACAGACACACACACAGAAGGTAGAGGGTACACAATAACACACAGACACACACACACACAGACACACACACACACACACACAGACACACAAACCTACTGGAGAATGTTGTGATAGTTTCCAGTTTTGTTTCGTTGACGAAGGAGAACAGTGGGAGCGGAGCACGGTCTGGGACGATGGTACTGCCCTGGTTCACAAACCCTGCTCTGCCCTGTACCAGATACACATGGTACCAGATCAAACACACATGGTACCAGATCAAACACACATGGTACCAGAGCAAACACACATGGTACCAATTCAAACATGCATGGTACCAATTCAAACATGCATGGTACCAGAGCAAGCATGCATGGTACCAGATCAAGCATGCATGGTACCAGATCAAACATGCATGGTACCAGAGCAAACACGCATGGTACAAGATCAAACACAAATGTTACCGGATGAGTCAATGTGGGACCATAAAGGTACCTGCACAGACCATAAAGGTACCTGCACAGACCATAAAGGTACCTGCACAGACCATAAAGGTACCTGCAGACAATAACTGTACCTGCACAGACCATAAAGGTACCTGCAGACCATAAAGGAAACCTGCACGGACCATAAATGTACCTGCACGGACCATAAAGGTACCTGCACAGACCATAAAGGTACCTGCACGGACCATAAAGGTACCTGCACAGACCATAAAGGTACCTGCACAGACCATAAAGGTACCTGCACAGACCATAAAGGTACCTGCACAGACCATAAAGGTACCTGCACAGACCATAAAGGTACCTGCACGGACCATAAAGGTACCTGCACAGACCATAAAGGTACCTGCACAGACCATAAAGGTACCTGCACAGACCATAAAGGTACCTGCACAGACCATAAAGGTACCTGCACAGACCATAAAGGTACCTGCACGGACCATAAAGGTACCTGCACAGACCATAAAGGTACCTGCACAGACCATAAAGGTACCTGCACAGAGAGGGTATAGTCCAGTCCAGGGTCCATGCGGTTTGAGTCCAGTCTCCACAGATCATTGAACAGAGACGACAGCTCCTGGTTCAGGACCGCTCTGAGCAAAGTCATGTTTTAGATGTTACAGATGTGTTTTAGATGTTACAGATGTGTTTTAGATGTTACAGATGTTACAGATGTGTTTTAGATGTTACAGATGTGTTTTAGATGTTACAGATGTTACAGATGTGTTTTAGATGTTACAGATGTGTTTTAGATGTTACCTGGAAGCCTCGAGTCCAGAGCAGGAGAAAAGGACCAGCACCAAACACAGTCTGAAACAAGAGCACGGTGTAAAGTGATAAATGTAGTTTTAAATCATATATACATATAACATAAATATGTATAAATATAACGTAAAGTACCGGACAGCGGCCATGGCGTGTCTCAGGGTTAGCTCAGATCGTGTTTGTTCAAACCCATGGATCTAGTTCAAACCTCAGAATGTTGAAACTTGTACCTCCGCCTCTTTTTGCAAAACAAACGAAAAAGAAAAACAAGTTGTGTCTGCAGTGGACGGAGGCGGACACTAGAGGGCGATGTCTCCTTTAGAATGTGGAGTTTCAGTCATATATATATTTATATGAGTTTGTGTAACTCATATATTGCTGTATGATAATACTGGTGTTTACATGTTTATACATGAATATACATGTTAGTACATGTTTACACTGGTGTGTAGGTCTCCTTCTGTGTCCTGGTCTCCTCCTGGTCTCCTCCTGGTCTCCTCCTGGTCTCCTCCTGGTCTCCTCCTGGTCTCCTCCTGGTCTCCTCCTGGTCTCCTCCTGGTCTCGATCTCTAAAGCTTTACTCTGGATCTTGACCTTTCAGTTTTTATCTAAACTTTTTCTTTATTGTATTTTTAAGATGAAGAATTAAAGCTGAGGGACGCAACTTTAATCTAACTATAAACCGTTTGTGACAAAGAGGAAAAGGTAAAATAACTGACATTAAAGACACAATCTGTAAATATTTAAAAAACATATTTTTATTGATACGTTTTGATACAGTCTGCATTCCACAAGGTTCCACATGGTTCTACGCGGTTCCACATGGTTCCGGCACAAACCTTTGATGTCGTGTTTATTAAAATCGTATAAATTAAACTTTGAAGTTAGAGAAATGTGCAAAAGTCGTTCTTTAGTAAAAATGTAAAACAGTTTTTTATGTGGATCTAAAACATTTATCACTGTGAGATTATTGCATATTTAACATTGTGGCAGAGACCGCGGCACCAGCGGCGTCTCCTCCAAACATTAAAAACAGTTAAAAACTGAAAAAATACTTTTGGCTCAAACTAAAACATTTTGGATTCATGCATCGTCCGTCAGACTCAGGACAGCTGCGGCTTCAGGGAAAAACTGATCCTCCTTTAACATGCTCTGGAAACACAATAAACATACACATTACACACACATTAAACACACACACACACACATTAAAAAATAAACACACCAATCACATTAAAACACACACACACATTAAACACACACATCACATTAAAACACACACACCACATTAAACACACACAGCTCTGAGCTCGGAGTAGAACCACTGCTCCGCCGTAGGTGCAGTTCTCACCGTTAGATTCTGGATTTCTTCTGAGAAAGCTCCGATCTGTCGCACGGTGCCTTCAGAGTCGTCCATCTGAGGAACACACATGGTTCATCTTTAACTGTGCAATACACACACTGTGTAAAATGCGCTATATAAATGAACATTACTTACTCACTATGCAATACACACACTATGCAATACACACACAGTGCAATACACACACAGTGCAATACACACACAGTGCAATACACACACAGTGCAATACACACACTATGCAATACACACAGTGCAATACACACACAGTGCAATACACACTATGCAATACACACAGTGCAATACAGCTACTGTGCAATACACACACAGTGCAATACACACACAGTGCAATACACATACTGTGCAATACACATACTGTGCAATACACATACTGTGCAAAACACATACTGTGAAATACACATAAAGTGCAATACACACACAGTGCAATACAAATACTGTTTTCACTTTGTGCCTAAAGTAAGACCAGGAAGGTGCCATATAAAAAAAATGTCCATCCATCCATTTTCTTCCCCTAAATCCATTTCTGGGTCGGGGGGTGGCAGTCAGAGCTGCACCCAGTACACAGAGCACCAGCCCCTCACTGATCCTCCTGCAGGTGCTGAGTCCACAGGAGCTGAGATCTGTCAGTGGGGGCTTCAGGCAAAGTGGGGTTAAGTGTCTTGCCCAAGGACACAACGGCAGCAGTCATCAGTGGGAGTCGTGAAGTAGGTCTTACAGTGGGCTCGAACCCACGACCTTCAGGCTCAAAGGCCAATGCTCTACCAACTGAGCCATTGTTGCCACTGTATTATTATTATTTCATTTTGCCCGAGCCTCCACTGGCTCCTCTGCAGGTGGAGGAGCAGCGGCTGTACTCAGAGGTCCGTGTGACCGGCTCCTCTGCAGGTAGAGGAGCAGCGGCTGTACTCAGAGCTCCGTGTGACTGACCTGCTGCAGTCGGTCCAGATCGTCCTCGTAGATCTGGAAGTCCTTCTGGAAGCTCCGCCCCTTCGGCGTCTCCAGGTCCATGGGACAAACGTACTCCTCGCTCTCCTCAGACTTCTTCTTTTTACTGAAGCCGAATGACAACTTCCTGGGCTGCAACACACAACGTCCTCATTATGACACACAACATCCTCACTATGAACACACAACTCATTAGTGGTTTACCTCTGACCTCCTTGTGTGTGTGTGTGTGTGTGTGTGTGTGTGTGTGTATGTGTGCGTTTGTTTGTGTACCTTGACTCTGCTGGTTGCTGTGAGTAGTGTGTAGTCAGGATGTTCCACACAGTCCTCGGTGTGTGTGTGTACCTTGACTCTGCTGGTTGCGGTGAGAAGTGTGTAGTCAGGGTGTTCCACACAGTCCTGTTTGTGTGTTTGTGTCTGTCTCTGTGTGTGTGTTCGTGTGTCTGTGTCTGTGTGTGCGTACCTTGACTCTGCTGGTTGCGGTGAGCAGTGTGTAGTCAGGGTGTTCCACACAGTCCTGTTTGTGTGTTTGTGTCTGTCTCTGTGTGTGTGTTTGTGTGTCTGTGTCTGTGTGTGCGTGTGCGTACCTTGACTCTGCTGGTTGCGGTGAGCAGTGTGTAGTCAGGGTGTTCCACACAGTCCTGTTTGTGTGTCTGTGCCTCAGTCCCTATGAGCAGACTGAAGTGTGTCACCAGGTGGCGCCGCAGCAGCGTCTTGTTCGGAGGAATGTTCAGCAGCAACGCCATGGTCTCCACGTTAAAGCGCGGCTCCAGGACCTACAGGGACAGGGTAGCACAGGGACAGGTCAGCACAGGGACAGGTCAGCACAGGGACAGGTCAGCACAGGGACAGGGTAGATAACTTCTTATTATTGCAGTCCTGGGTCTACAGCCTCAGTCTTGGGGTATAGAGCCTCAGTCCTGGGTCTAGAGCCTCAGTCCTGGGTCTACAGCCTCAGTCCTGGGTCTACAGCCTCAGTCCTGGGTCTACAGCCTCAGTCCTGGGGTCTACAGCCTCAGTCCTGGGTCTACAGCCTCAGTCCTGGGTCTACAGCCTCAGTCCTGGGTCTACAGCCTCAGTCCTGGGTCTACAGCCTCAGTCCTGGGTCTACAGCCTCAGTCCATGTGTTTGAATGGTTTGATATTCTGATCTGTTGTTGGTGAATCAACAACTGTGTAAAGTCCTCTGAGAGGACAGTTGTGGTTTAGAGCTAGTTTAAAGATAGAGATAAATAGTTTAAAGATAGAAATAGAGATGAGGCCCTCACCATGAGGCCCCCGTGGACCCCGCTGCCTCTGAGGTTTGGAGCATATTCTGCCAGATCCACGGAGCGCAGCCACTCCATCACTCTGTGGTTAGTCCACTGGGACACCTCCGCCGGGGTCACATTGTTCTGTTCACACACAGCTCTAAGTTTACACATAGCTTTAAGTTTACACTCAGCTCTAACTTTACACATAGCTCTAACTTGACACTCAGCTCTAAGTTCAAACACAGCTCTAAGTTTACACACAGCTCTAAGTTCAAACACAGCTCTAACTTTACACACAGCTCTAACTTTACACACAGCTCTAAGTTCAAACACAGCTCTAAGTTTACACACAGCTCTAAGTTCCCACCTCGTCAGACGGGCGGCGGCGGAGACAGTTGGGTCTGTAGTTGTTGAGGCGAAGGACCTGAACGGCTCGTTTGATGCTGAGATGATGAAGGACACTGCCCACTTTCAGAGAGAGGAGGTCGTCCTGAGGTCAGAGCTCAAGGGTCAGATTCAGGGGTCAGACAATGTTAAATATGCAGCTGTTTTTTAATATAGTGTTATTTTTTACGCTCAAAGTCCTCGGTGAAAGTGATACAATAAACAGAATTGAAAAGATTTGAATAATACATCTACAGCTAAGTCTAAGCTAACAGCTAACACTAAGCTAACAGCTAACATTAGCGCTGACATCTGAGAGTCTCTCACCACAGTCATGTAGTGCAGCATCCGTCCGTCCACTCGCGCTTCATCAAACTGAGTTTTATACTGTGGAAGTCCAATGTCGTCCAACCATCCTGCGCCCAGGGACATCAGGGACATCAGAGACAGAGACACAGAGACACAGAGACATCAGGGACATCAGAGACAGAGACACAGACAGACACAGAGACAAAGACACAGAGACAAAGACACAGAGGCAGAGACAGAGACACAGAGACATATTCACATCTGTGTGACTCTGTAATTTCCAGTTTGTCTTCAGTGAATGTTTTTTAAATGTTTAATTTATTTATAAAATTAAAAATCAATCTATTTTGTAAACTACTCGACTTTTATTTAAATTTCCGGAGCAAAAAGTATTTCTAGAATAAAAGCCTTTTTAGAATATTGACAACAGCAGAGAACATGTGACTGACGTGTGACCCAGTGGTAATCCAGCCGTCCCTGTGCGTCCTCCTCCTCTGACCCTAGGGACTGAAGAGCCAGCTGCAGCTTCTTCCTGTGCAGCGGCTGCTTGATCCCCAGCTCCTGAAACACAGCATCAATCACTGTCCCTGTGCTCCTCAGAGTCCCAGCAGGAGACCAGTCCCTGTGCTCCTCAGAGTCCCATCAGGAGGCCGGTCCCTGTGCTCCTCAGAGTCCCAGCAGGAGACCAGTCCCTGTGCTCCTCAGAGTCCCAGCAGGAGGCCGGTCCCTGTGCTCACCTTTTCCAGATCGTGCTGTGACGCCTGCAGTAGAGTTTGTCCAGAGGAGATCCAGACTCGGGCCATGTTTCCATAGAGACCGAGGCCCTGCTCCTGCAGCCAATCACAGACCTGCTCCTTGGACCAGCGCGCGAAGGGGGCGTCCACTTCACTGCTGCACAAACACACAATCAACACACAAACACACAAACATCACTCAGTTAGAATAAAGTACTGTTTAAGAACTATCTTCACTGTTGATTCTGGAGCAGTTCTTAAAGAAAAAGTCTGAACAAATGTGTGCTGGTGTGTGCTGGTGTGTGCTGGTGTGTGCTGGTGTGTGCTGGTGTGTGCTGGTGTGTACTATGGGGCATTGTTACTTCCACAGAGACTGCTTTGTTCCGAGCCAGTTCCAGTGTAAACTCCTGTTGGGACTCTGAGGGGCACAGGGACTGGCCTCCTGCTGGTCCCAGAGTCAGGACTTCCTCCAGTGGTTAGAGTTCCTTGTGTATAAACTGTGCTATATAAATAACCTTTCCATGGGTGAAAACAAACACTGACTTGTTGCTCTGCTGTAGGTCACGTGACCAGCCCAGCCGTGGTCCCGCCGTAGCCCGCACGCCACCACGCTTAAACTCTCCCTCAGAAAGGTTGTCGTCCAGGTTGAAGGTGGTGGAGCGGCTCCTCTTCAGCCTGAGGAGCAGATTTATTTGTTTAGCACAGAATGAACTGAGACGTTTGGGCTTTACCTTTTGGTTCTGCTAAAACAAACTAGACCCTAAGTAGCCTGGTCTTACCTGGTCTTACCTGGTCTTACCTGGTCTTACCTGGTCTTACCTGGTCTTACCTGGTCTTACATGGTCTTACATGGTCTTACCACACCATCGTACTCATGTCGTACTAAGGTCTGGATTTGCTCCATTGATTCTGTTAACAGGTGGGAGGGGTTAATTCCTTTTACAGTTTGAAACGGTTGGATCTGAGTCATGGATATATTATATTAACTGGATAGGGTATTACAGCTTGTAGCTGAAGGACTCATGTGCTCGGAGGATTCTCGCAGTACTGCAGACTAAACCAGACTAAACCAGACTAAATTCACGTGGGCTACCCAGAAATGTTCCCCATAGAACTCAATGTAAACTAAAACAGTGCGACCTCAGCTGACAGAGAACTTACAGCTTTCAGAAAGGTCGGATTTTGTGGGGTTTTTGGTGTCCCTTGTCGTCGTGAACCTTTTTTCTTATTAAATCCTTCGGTTTTCTTTAAATCCACACTTTAGTGCCACAAACTCTGCTCGTCAGGAGCCAGACGGTCAAAGCCCGGCCGAGCCCCTCTGTGCACGTGCATGAGAGTATTTGGCGCAAAGCATCATGGGAGCTCGTCCACTGCGCAGAACCAGGAGGACCAGACGATGCCCAAATATAGCGAGTGATATGGCAAGTTCCACTAATATGTCAGAGACCGTGCCGGTGCCACTGAGCACAAACCATTCATTTGAATACTGCACCATCTTGGATCACCGGGGCTGGATCTGAGTTTACTGTGACGTATGTAATGAGCCCGAGTGAGTGAGGCATTTAGCATTCAGCCTAGCTTCAGCAATTAGCCTAGCTTTAGCATGTAGCCTAGCTTTAGCCATCTCCTTTGCCGCTAACGGAGCCCGTGGGGAGTAGCGCCACAACATCTTTGCTTCAATGACATTTACTAAACATTCCTTTTGCTCCGGCTTCAGATTATTTTACTATCGCACTCTCCGACAAACTACAACCAGCAAAATCAGCACAAACTCTGACGACACCGACCTACAACACCCGCCTACAACACAAAACGTTGTCTTTACTAAACTTTATGAAGCTTCCAAATTCCAGTCAACTATCAAAGCTCAGACCAACGGTATAAACATCCATCCATCCATGTTCTTCCGCTTTATCCGTTGCCGGCAGTGAAAACACGGGCGTCTGGAGGTGGGACTCACTTTCCGAACAGTTTGGTGATGCCTTTTGGTTTCTTGGTGGACAGAGTGTGAGTGCTGTCCGTGGTGCTGGAGCTCTGTGGGAGGCCGGCCAGGTCCAGGTGGTCCGCGGGGGGTCTCTCTGTCTCCGCTGCAAACAAACCAGTGACACATTCATACGACCACAAGGACCTGACCGGGACGAGACACGACGAGACACAAGATTCAGTCATGCATTATTCTGAAACCAGAGCTGGGCCTGAGCTGGAAATGAGAGAGAGGAGAAAATGTGAAAACATGTGTCAGCGATGAACAATAAAGAATAGTGTCTACACAAACATTAGACTGTGGTAAATGTGGCTCCAAGATCAGGTCAAAGATCAGGTCCAAGATCAGGTCCAAGATCAGGTCAAAGATCAGGTCCAAGATCAGGTCCAAGATCAGGTCCAAGATCAGGTCCAAGATCAGGTCCAAGATCAGGTCCAAGGAGACGGCAACTGAAGTCAGGGACTACTTTACTTTGGAATATGATTTATTGTGTCAGGGTTAAGTCACACATCTGCAGCTTTATTAATTCTCAGTCCTGGGTCTACAGCCTCAGTCCTGGGTCTACAGCCTCAGTCCTGGGTCGACAGCCTCAGTCCTGGGTCGACAGCCTCAGTCCTGGGTCGACAGCCTCAGTCCTGGGTCGACAGCCTCAGTCCTGGGTCTACAGGCTCAGTCCTGGGTCGACAGCCTCAGTCCTGGGTCGACAGCCTCAGTCCTGGGTCGACAGCCTCAGTCCTGGGTCGACAGCCTCAGTCCTGGGTCAACAGCCTCAGTTGTTAATGTGAGAAACAGTAAATACAGAAGAACATGCAAGAGTCAAACAACAGGCTTCTACTGTGTGTTTCAGAGGCCGTTAGCCTGACGGAGAGTGTTCCTTTAGCCGCTAATGCTAATGCTAATGCTAACCCTTACTGTACCTAGCTGCGGCGCACTCGCACTCAGGCTGCGGTCTTCAGGTGTTACACAAAGAACACAACACCAAAGGATCCAGAAGAAACACAAGACAAAAGACACATTATAATAACACAACGTCTGCAGCAGTGAGGGGGACGCACACACAAACACACAATTGTACACACACAAACACACAGATGTACACACACAGACGTACACACACACACACAGAGATGTACACACACAACAGCACCAACAGACACATAAAAACATACACACAGATGTACACACACACACACATAGTATGCACCTATAAACAGGAAAGAGGAGGTACAAGCACACACAGACACAGTCACCAACACACACACATATACAGAGGATAGGAGGCACCAACACGCACACACACACACACACACACACACGCACCTATAAACAGGAAAGAGGAGGTACCAGCACACACAGACACACGTGCACACCACACACATGAACACACAGACACAGACACACACACACAGACACACACACACAGAGAGGGTGACACCGCGGTACAGAAACACACTTCTATAATGAAACACTGGACCAGAGTTTGTGCGGGCGGAAAATTAGGGAGTAGAGATGTTTATGGGAGCGGCTCGAGAGGAACCAGGACCAGACCAGAGACCAGAGAGGAACCAGGACCAGACCAGAGACCAGAAAGGAACCAGGACCAGAGCAGAGACCAGAGAGGAACCAGGACCAGACCAGAGACCAGAGAGGAACCCATCTCCCCATCTAAGGAGGTATTTAAGGTGGTATCTAAGGTGGTATCTAAGGTGGTGTTTAAGGTGGTATCTAAGGTGGTGTTTAAGGTGGTATCCAAGGTTGTGTTTAAGGTGGTATCTAAAATTCAAGTTAAAATAACGGTAAGATGTTAAGTTCCAAAAGGATCAGCAGCTCCATCCTAAACTCCATCCACAGACTCACCGAGGTTCGGGGTGCTGCTGGTCTTCTTCCCGCCGCGGATCTTGAAGAACCCTTTTCCAAACGAGGAGCGAGCTTTCCTGGAGCCGAAGCTGTCGTCCTGGATAGAGGCGGGAAGCGTGGACGAGGGGAGCGTGGACGAGGGACCAAGCGGCGGCCTGCCTCCATGCTTCCTGTTCTCCTCACTCGAGTTCTGAGGAACGAATCACAGCTTCAGGAACACAGAGGTTTAGGACAGGGGTGATGTGTTCTAAAGTAACCAACGATAAATCCTCTCAGTACCAGCTGAACTCACCACTGCTGAAGAGAGTCCAGAGAGAGACCAGAGAGAGGCCAGAGAGTGACCAGAGAGAGAGACCAGAGAGAGAGACCAGAGAGAGTCCAGAGAGAGAGACCAGAGAGAGACCAAAGAGAGACCAGAGAGAGAGACCAGAGAGAGTCCAGAGAGAGACCCGAGAGAGGCCAGAGAGTGACCAGAGAGAGAGACCAGAGAGAGAGACCAGAGAGAGTCCAGAGAGAGAGACCAGAGAGAGACCACAGAGAGACCAAAGAGAGTCCAGAGAGAGACCAGAGAGAGTCCAGAGAGAGAGACCAGAGAGAGTCCAGAGAGAGACCAGAGAGTGACCAGAGAGAGAGACCAGAGAGAGTGACCAGAGAGTGACCAGAGAGAGAGACCAGAGAGAGACCAGAGAGAGACCAGAGAGAGACCAGAGAGAGACCCGAGAGAGAGACCAGAGAGAGACCCGAGAGAGAGACCAGAGAGAGAGAGACCAGATAGAGACCAGATAGAGAGACCAGAGAGAGAGAGACCAGAGAGAGGGACCAGAGGGCGTACTGTAGCGCGCTGTAGTGTGTTGTGGGACCAGTGTAACGGTAATAACAGCCGTAATAACCTTTTCATTGTTGATCTTGTCCAGTTGCTCCTGGCTGCTGCATCTGCTCAATTCTTGGGCGCTGGAAGAAAACACTGACTCTGAGTATTATCTAATGTCAGAGTATTATCTAATGTCAGAGTATTATCTAATGACAGAGTATTATCTAATGACAGAGTATTATCTAATGACAGAGTATTATCTAATGTCAGAGTATTATCTAATGACAGAGTATTATCTAATGACAGAGTATTATCTAATGACAGAGTAATATCTAATGACAGAGTATTATCTAATGACAGAGTATTATCTAATGACAGAGTATTATCTAATGACAGAGTATTATCTAATGACAGAGTAATATCTAATGACTGAGTATTATCTAATGACAGAGTATTATCTAATGACAGAGTAATATCTAATGACTGAGTATTATCTAATGACAGAGTATTATCTAATGACAGAGTAATATCTAATGACTGAGTATTATCTAATGACAGAGTATTATCTAATGACAGAGTATTATCTAATGACAGAGTATTATCTAATGACAGAGTATTATCTAATGACAGAGTATTATCTAATGACTGAGTATTATCTAATGACTGAGTATTATCTAATGACAGAGTGTCTGTAGTCACCTCTGTCCGTCTGTGGGGGAGCACTCGGACACCGGCTCGATGTCCGAGGGGGAGGGGCTGGGGGAGGACTCCACATGAATCCTGTCCTGGAAAACCAGAACAAACTGTTTATTTCTGTCTCCTTCAGAAGAGATTTGGATCACCTCCTCCTCAACCTCAGCCCATTCACCTCCTCCTCTGTGCTTCACCTCCTCCTCAGTGCCTCACCTCCTTCTCAACCTCAGCCCATTCACCTCCTCCTCTGTGCCTCACCTCCTCCTCTGCACCTCACCTCCTCCTCTGCGCCTCACCTCCTCCTCTGCGCCTCACCTCCTCCTCTTTGACTCACCTCCTCCCCTGTGCCTCACCTCCTCCTCAGTGCCTCACCTCCTCCCCTGTGCCTCACCTCCTCCTCAGTGCCTCACCTCCTCCTCAGTGCCTCACCTTCTCAACCTCAGCCCATTCACCTCCTCCTCTGTGCCTCACCTCCTCCTCAGTGCCTCACAGCCTCTTCTGCACCTTACCTCCTCCTCAGTGCCTCACCTCCTCCTCAGTGCCTCACCTCCTTCTCAACCTCAGCCCATTCACCTCCTCCTCTGTGCCTCACAGCCTCTTCTGCACCTCACCTCCTCCTCAGTGCCTCCTCTGCACCTCACCTCCTCCTCAGTGCCTCACCTCCTCCTCTGCGCCTCACCTCCTTCTCTGTGCCTCACCTCCTCCTCTGCGCCTCACCTCCTCCTCTGCGCCTCACCTCCTCCTCTGTGCCTCACCTCCTCCCCTGTGCCTCACCTTCTCCTCTGCACCTTACCTCCTCCTCAGTGCCTCACCTCCTCCTCAGTGCCTCACCTCGTTCTCAGTTCCTCACCTCCTTCTCAACCTCACCCCATTCACCTCCTCCTCTGTGCCTCACCTCCTCCTCAGTGCCTCACAGCCTCTTCTGCACCTCACCTCCTCCTCAGTGCCTCACAGCCTCCTCTGCACCTCACCTCCTCCTCAGTGCCTCACCTCCTCCTCTGCGCCTCACCTCCTCCTCTGTGCCTCACCTCCTCCTCTGTGCCTCACCTCCTTCTCAGTGCCTCACCTCGTTCTCAGTTCCTCACCTCCTTCTCAACCTCACCCCATTCACCTCCTCCTCTGTGCCTCACCTCCTCCTCAGTGCCTCACAGCCTCTTCTGCACCTCACCTCCTCCTCAGTGCCTCACAGCCTCCTCTGCACCTCACCTCCTCCTCAGTGCCTCACCTCCTCCTCTGCGCCTCACCTCCTCCTCTGTGCCTCACCTCCTCCTCTGTGCCTCACCTCCTCCTCTGTGCCTCACCTCCTCCTCTGTGCCTCACCTCCTCCTCAGTGCCTCACCTCCTCCTCTGTGCCTCACCTCCTCCTCAGCGCCTCACCTCCTCCTCAGTGCCTCACCTCCTCCTCAGTGCTCGGCTGCGCCTCCTCTGGTTCCAAACACAAACCCTGGGACAAGAAGGAGCCGAGGGAAGTGTGGACAAAAGCCTCCATGGATTTCTCTGAAACAGAAACAGAAGCTAATAAACACTAAACTAATATCAAACAATTAAGATTGTGTTCTGAGATGTGTGTTACCATGAAGCCCTTTGTGTTCTGAGATGTGTGTTACCATGAAGCCCTTTGTGTTCTGAGATGTGTGTTACCATGAAGCCCTTTGTGTTCTGAGATGTGTGTTACCGATGAAGCCCTTTGTGTTCTGAGATGTGTGTTACCATGAAGCCCTTTGTGTTCTGAGATGTGTGTTACCATGAAGCCCTTTGTGTTCTGAGATGTGTGTTACCATGAAGCCCTTTGTGTTCTGAGATGTGTGTTACCATGAAGCCCTTTGTGTTCTGAGATGTGTGTTACCATGAAGCCCTTTGTGTTCTGAGATGTGTGTTACCATGAAGCCCTTTGTGTTCTGAGATGTGTGTTACCATGAAGCCCTTTGTGTTCTGAGATGTGTGTTACCATGAAGCCCTTTGTGTTCTGAGATGTGTGTTACCAATGAAGCCCTTTGTGTTCTGAGATGTGTGTTACCATGAAGCCCTTTGTGTTCTGAGATGTGTGTTACCATGAAGCCCTTTGTGTTCTGAGATGTGTGTTACCATGAAGCCCTTTGTGTTCTGAGATGTGTGTTACCATGAAGCCCTTTGTGTTCTGAGATGTGTGTTACCCATGAAGCCCTTTGTGTTCTGAGATGTGTGTTACCATGAAGCCCTTTGTGTTCTGAGATGTGTGTTACCGATGAAGCCCTTTGTGTTCTGAGATGTGTGTTACCGATGAAGCCCTTTGTGTTCTGAGATGTGTGTTACCGATGAAGCCCTTTGTGTTCTGAGATGTGTGTTACTGATGAAGCCCTTTGTGTTCTGAGATGTGTGTTACCGATGAAGCCCTTTGTGTTCTGAGATGTGTGTTACCGATGAAGCCCTTTGTGTTCTGAGATGTGTGTTATCGATGAAGCCCTTTGTGTTCTGAGATGTGTGTTACCATGAAGCCCTTTGTGTTCTGAGATGTGTGTTACCATGAAGCCCTTTGTGTTCTGAGATGTGTGTTACCATGAAGCCCTTTGTGTTCTGAGATGTGTGTTACCATGAAGCCCTTTGTGTTCTGAGATGTGTGTTACCGATGAAGCCCTTTGTGTTCTGAGATGTGTGTTACCGATGAAGCCCTTTGTGTTCTGAGATGTGTGTTACCGATGAAGCCCTTTGTGTTCTGAGATGTGTGTTACCATGAAGCCCTTTGTGTTCTGAGATGTGTGTTACCATGAAGCCCTTTGTGTTCTGAGATGTGTGTTACCATGAAGCCCTTTGTGTTCTGAGATGTGTGTTACCGATGAAGCCCTTTGTGTTCTGAGATGTGTGTTACCATGAAGCCCTTTGTGTTCTGAGATGTGTGTTACCGATGAAGCCCTTTGTGTTCTGAGATGTGTGTTACCGATGAAGCCCTTTGTGTTCTGAGATGTGTGTTACCGATGAAGCCCTTTGTGTTCTGAGATGTGTGTTACCGATGAAGCCCTTTGTGTTCTGAGATGTGTGTTACCATGAAGCCCTTTGTGTTCTGAGATGTGTGTTACCATGAAGCCCTTTGTGTTCTGAGATGTGTGTTACCATGAAGCCCTTTGTGTTCTGAGATGTGTGTTACCATGAAGCCCTTTGTGTTCTGAGATGTGTGTTACCGATGAAGCCCTTTGTGTTCTGAGATGTGTGTTACCGATGAAGCCCTTTGTGTTCTGAGATGTGTGTTACCGATGAAGCCCTTTGTGTTCTGAGATGTGTGTTACCATGAAGCCCTTTGTGTTCTGAGATGTGTGTTACCATGAAGCCCTTTGTGTTCTGAGATGTGTGTTACCATGAAGCCCTTTGTGTTCTGAGATGTGTGTTACCGATGAAGCCCTTTGTGTTCTGAGATGTGTGTTACCATGAAGCCCTTTGTGTTCTGAGATGTGTGTTACCGATGAAGCCCTTTGTGTTCTGAGATGTGTGTTACCATGAAGCCCTTTGTGTTCTGAGATGTGTGTTACCATGAAGCCCTTTGTGTTCTGAGATGTGTGTTACCATGAAGCCCTTTGTGTTCTGAGATGTGTGTTACCATGAAGCCCTTTGTGTTCTGAGATGTGTGTTACCGATGAAGCCCTTTGTGTTCTGAGATGTGTGTTACCGATGAAGCCCTTTGTGTTCTGAGATGTGTGTTACCGATGAAGCCCTTTGTGTTCTGAGATGTGTGTTACCATGAAGCCCTTTGTGTTCTGAGATGTGTGTTACCATGAAGCCCTTTGTGTTCTGAGATGTGTGTTACCATGAAGCCCTTTGTGTTCTGAGATGTGTGTTACCGATGAAGCCCTTTGTGTTCTGAGATGTGTGTTACCATGAAGCCCTTTGTGTTCTGAGATGTGTGTTACCGATGAAGCCCTTTGTGTTCTGAGATGTGTGTTACCATGAAGCCCTTTGTGTTCTGAGATGTGATTAGTACCTTTCTTCTCTTGGACCGACATCACCATCTCCTGCACTTTCTTATACCGCTGCAAAGACTGCTTCAGCTCCTCAATCTTACGATCCTGAAGACAAACACCAGGGTCAGACTGCTGTGCTGCCACCCGGCCAGGGGTAAAGTGGAAGAAGATGGATGGGAGGGGGAGGGGCCTGGATGGTACCTTTTCCTCATTGGCTGCCATCAGTGACTCCACCGCCTTCTTCATCCTCTGCACCTCCACATCTACAGACCACAGCTTTAACATCACTCAACAGCATCAGAACGACAAGTCACATGGTCCACGGGCCACATGGTCCACGGGCCACAAGGTCTACAGGTCACATGGTCCACGGGTCACATGATGCAGAGGTCACATGGTCCACGGGTCACATGGTCCACATGCCACATGGTCCAGGGGTCACATGGTCCACAGGCCACATGGTCCAGGGGTCACATGGTCCACAGGTCACATGGTCCACAGGCCACATGATGCAGAGGTCACATGGTCCACGGGTCACATGATCGAGGGGTCACATGGTCCACAGGCCACATGTTCCACAGGTTACATGGTGCAGAGGTTATGACAAACACAGACACATTCCATGATGAGAGAACACAACACGCAGACGGTCGAGCAATGCAGGCTTTGGATTAGAGAGAGTACAATCAGGCGTTTACATGAGAGGGACTGAGGGAGAGACTGAGGAAGAGAGACTGAGGGAGAGAGAGGGAGAGAGAGAGAGGGAGAGAGACAGAGAGACTGAGAGAGTTGTTTTATTTCAAGAATAATATCCTGCATCGTGCTGGTGTTACAGTCCTACGGTGGTGTTACAGTCCTACTGTAGTGTTACAGTCCTACGGTGGTGTTACAGTCCTACGGTGGTGTTGCAGTTCTACGGTGGTGTTACAGTCCTACGGTGGTGTTGCAGTCCTACGGTGGTGTTGCAGTCCTACGGTGGTGTTACAGTCCTACGGTGGTGTTGCAGTTCTATGGTGGTGTTACAGTCCTACGGTGGTGTTACAGTCCTACGGTGGTGTTGCAGTCCTACGGTGGTGTTGCAGTCCTACGGTGGTGTTGCAGTCCTACGGTGGTGTTGCAGTCCTACGGTGGTGTTACAGTCCTACGGTGGTGTTGCAGTCTGCCCATACAAATGCAGGTGCAGTGAGGCTCATGCGTCATGCAGAAGCATGTGGTGCATAAGTGTAGACACCCTTACGTTTCTCCTTCAGCCTCTTTCTAAGAGTTTCATCTGCAGGAAAAACTGAACACAGGTACATTTCACACTGACGATGGTACACTTCATGGTACACTCCATAGTACACATAGTACATAGCAATTGGCCCCACTGTGGCAGCTGGTGTTCCCAGAGGTCTCCCATCACGGCAAGGCAAGGCAAGGCAAGTTTATTTATATAGCACAATTCATACACAAGGCAATTCAAAGTGCTGAACAAAACAAGAAAGCATTAAAATCATAAATTATCACAGAACATTAAAAAGAAAGATAAAAATATAAAATCCCTCAGTTGTATGCACAGTTAAACAGAACCGTCTTTAACCTGGTTTTAAACATTGTCAGAGAGGAGGCCTGTCTCACATCTTCAGGAAGACTGTTCCAGATTTTAGCAGCATTAATCTGAATCACAGTACTAACCAGGCCCTACCCCCAATAGACCCACATCAGACCATCATCAGACCATCATCAGACCATCATCAGACCCACCTCTCTCCACCACAGACTCGGGGCCGCTCTGGTCCTGGAGCCTCCTCATCTCCACGTCCTTTCCCTCGAGCTGCCGCCGCAGACTCACCAGCTCCTCCTGGTGTAGAGGGAGGGGGGCAGAGAGGGAGCGGGGGCAGAGGTGAGAACCTTCCCTTCACATGGACACACACCCTCCCCCCTCCCCCCCTCACAACTACAAATGAGCCACAACAAAGAGGGAGAAGGTTCCCAGATGCTGATGTGGCACAGCAGCTGGAGGACCAGGTGCAGCTCACAAACACACACACACAACACATGGAGAACACGGCATTGGTAAAATCGATAAAAGCAGAAGTGAAAATTATTGTTTAATTGTATGTCTTTGTATAGCTCTTTGTGTTGCGCTGCATGGATTGTGCGTCATAAATAATCTAATAAAAACATTCTGGGTCCACTACAAACAAAAGTCAGACTCAGGCCTGAACCAAAGTCATTTCCACGATCTCTAAAGGCAGAAACTCAAGAGTAGACTGAACAAGCTGGTCAGGAGGCCCCTGGACTCTGTGGAGGAGATGAGGGACAGGGGGCCCCTGGACTCTGTGGAGGAGGTGAGGGACAGGAGGCCCCTGGACTCTGTGGAGGAGGTGAGGGACAGGAGGCCCCTGGACTCTGTGGAGGAGGTGAGGGACAGGCGGCCCTTGGACTCTGTGGAGGAGGTGAGGGACAGGAGGTGCTAGTCAAAGCCACCTCCATCATGAACAACACCTCCCACTGCACAGGACTGAGGAGGAGCTGAGGAGCTCCTTCAGTGGAAGACTGAGACATCCTCAGTGTAAGAAGGAGCTCTATCGCAGGGCCTTTATCCCCACCGCTGTCAGACTGTACAACAAGTCACTTTAAGTCACTTGCATTAGGACTAAAAACCTGCACTACTATTGACACTGTTTCTTGTACATAATATATCCTGCATTAACATGCTGCACATTTCTTACTTTTGTACAATCTTGAGTGATTCTCCCCGTGCCAGATGGGACATGTACATTTCTCCAGTGAGAGATCTTATCTTATTTTAAACACATGTTTAAACATGTGTTTAAAACAGCGGTGACATCAGAGGGAGAAGAGAAACACTGAGAATTGCAGCGGCTCTACTCCGAGCTCCTGTCACTGCTTCTAACTAACAGTTTTAGAAACGGAACAGTTTCAGTGAAGAACAGATACATCTTTAAAAACTTTAACATTTAGAGATAGATACAAACAAGACTTAAAGCTGGGGTCCTGGACTTTCTGGTTTCACAGAGAAGAGAGACTCAGAGATCACAGACGAGCCCTGGGAGTCACTGTTGGACTCTTTGGGCAGAGCTTCGTGTTTATTACACAAAAAGTTAGGAACCTCAGCTTTAATATTGTAGAGATTCAACAACAGGTCATTTTGGAGCCAGTGACGATAAGAGAAGATTAAGACAAACAGATATACAGACAGATATACAGACACAGAGACAGACAGACACAGACAGAGACAGACAGAGACACAGACAGACACAGAGACAGACACAGAGACAGACACAGAGACACAGACAGACACAGAGACAGACACAGAGACAGACATACAATGATGATGGACCGGAGTCTAGGATGGCTAAGCTAGGTCCAGCACGTACATTTGGACATGTGCAGTAGAACAAACGTAAACAACAATGGCGGCGGGTACACATTATCAAAGTGTTTACTTTTGTGGACTTCAGTTTCTTCTCAAACTGCAGCTTTTCATTTTCCAGGTCAGAGATTCTGAACCGCAGCTCGTGGATCTCCAGAATTAAATCCTAAAAATGGGAAAAAATGACAGTGTAAATCTTTGATCAGCCTCAGTCCTGGGTCTACAGCCTCCGTCCTGGGTCTACAGCCTCCGTCCTGGGTCTACAGCCTCCGTCCTGGGTCTACAGCCTCCGTCCTGGGTCTACAGCCTCCGTCCTGGGTCTACAGCCTCCGTCCTGGGTCTACAGCCTCAGTCCTGGGTCTACAGCCTCAGTCCTGGGTCTACAGCCTCAGTTCTGGGTCTACAGCCTCAGTCCTGGGTCTACAGCCTCAGTCCTGGGTCTACAGCCTCAGTCCTGGGTCTACAGCCTCAGTCTCACCTCACTGTCGCTGAATCTATGGTCCAGGTCCAGACGCTTCTTTTCTATAGAGTTCAACTTGAGTTTGAGGTTAGACACTTCAGAGATCAGCTCTAACTTCTGAGTTTCCAGCTCCGTCCTGCACAGGAGCTCCTGAAACATAGACATATTAAAGCTGAAACAGACATATTAAAGAAGCGTTACCTGATTTTTTTCTAATGAGTTCATAAAAATGCTTATTACTACATACAAGTTTTATTATAATCCGTAATTTAAATAAAAAACTTGAGCTCATTGATTCAGCTGTGAATGAATTCAGGCCGTAAAAAGTGCTGAGTAGAGACTTAGCGTGACGCCCGCTCTCCTCCAATCACAGAACGAGGCTGCGTCCTCTAGCCTCTACAGCGCTGCTAAACACAGTAGCATGTTAGCATAAGTGGCTAAACCTCCTCTGGCTGTAACTGCAGACACAGAAAAACAGCCCAAACCACACAACAGTGAGGAAGAGAACTAAAGCCAAAACATGATCAAAGAAGAAAACAAGCCCTGAACAGAGCTAGCTTACATCGTATACTCTGGAGAGACTGGTCTATGGGAGAGACCTGCGGGACCGCCTCGGACCATCTATGCTCGGACCATCTATGCTCGGACTATCTATGCTCGGACCATCTACGCTCGGACCGTCTAGGCTCGGACCATCTATGCTCAGACCATCTATGCTCAGACCATCTATGCTCAGACCATCTATGCTCAGACCATCTATGCTCGAACTATCTATGCTCGGACCATCTATGCTCGGACCATCTATGCTCAGACCATCTATGCTCAGAGCATCTATGCTCAGACCATCTATGCTCGGACTATCTATGCTCGGACCATCTATGCTCGGACCATCTATGCTCGGACCATCTATGCTCGGACCATCTATGCTCGGACCATCTATGCTCGGACCATCTATGCTCGGACCATCTATGCTCGGACCATCTATGCTCAGACCATCTATGCTCAGACTATCTATGCTCAGACCATCTATGCTCAGACCATCTATGCTCGGACCATCTATGCTCGGACCATCTATGCTCGGACCATCTATGCTCGGACCATCTATGCTCGGACCATCTATGCTCGGACTATCTATGCTCGGACTATCTATGCTCGGACTATCTATGCTCGGACTATCTATGCTCGGACTATCTATGCTCGGACTATCTATGCTCGGACTAAATTTGGACGCGAAACTAGCGGTAATCTTTCAGTTATAGTTTGTTAGCAGTGCGTTGCTTTTGTACCATTCCATCAGTGATTGTTGTACAGCTTAAGTTGTGCTAATGCTAATGTTAGCATATGTATCGCAAATAAAACTAGATGGCTCCGTGGGATGAGAGCGGAGGGGAAATGAGAAGCCTGTGAGCGAGTTGGGGGCGGGGCTAAACATTCAAACTGAAAAACACCTGCAGAAACGGGCTAAAGTGGCTCTTGGCCCTAAAATGGCTCTTGGTCCTAAAGTGGCTCTCGGCCCTAAAGAGGCTCTCGGTCCTAAAGTGGCTCTCGGTCCTAAAGTGGCTCTCGGTCCTAAAGTGGTTCTTGGTCCTAAAGTGGTTCTTGGTCTAAAAGTGGTTCTTGGTCTAAAATTGTCCTAAAGTGGCTCTTGGTCCTAAAGTGGCTCTAGGCCCTAAAGTGGCTCTTGGTCCTAAAGTGGCTCTTGGTCCTAAAGTGGCTCTTGGTCCTAAAGTGGTTCTTGGTCCTAAAGTGGCTCTAGGCCCTAAAGTGGCTCTTGGTCCTAAAGTGGCTCTTGGTCCTAAAGTGGCTCTTGGTCCTAAAGTGGTTCTTGGTCCTAAAGTGGTTCTTGGTCCTAAAGTGGCTCTTGGTCCTAAAGTGGTTCTTGGTCCTAAAGTGGCTCTAGGCCCTAAAGTGGCTCTTGGTCCTAAAGTGGCTCTTGGTCCTAAAGTGGCTCTTGGTCCTAAAGTGGTTCTTGGTCCTAAAGTGGCTCTAGGCCCTAAAGTGGCTCTTGGTCCTAAAGTGGCTCTTGGTCCTAAAGTGGCTCTTGGTCCTAAAGTGGTTCTTGGTCCTAAAGTGGTTCTTGGTCCTAAAGTGGCTCTTGGTCCTAAAGTGGTTCTTGGTCCTAAAGTGGCTCTTGGTCCAAGTGGCTCTTGGTCCTAAAGTGGCTCATGGTTCTAAAGTGGCTCTTGGTCCTAAAGTGGCTCTTGGTCCTAAAGTGGTTCTTGGTCCTAAAGTGGTTCTTGGTCCTAAAGTGGCTCTAGGCCCTAAAGTGGCTCTTGGTCCTAAAGTAGCTCTTGGTCCTAAAGTGGCTCTTGGTCCTAAAGTGGTTCTTGGTCCTAAAGTGGTTCTTGGTCCTAAAGTGGCTCTTGGTCCTAAAGTGGTTCTTGGTCCTAAAGTGGCTCTTGGTCCAAGTGGCTCTTGGTCCTAAAGTGGCTCATGGTTCTAAAGTGGCTCTTGGTCCTAAAGTGGCTCTTGGTCCTAAAGTGGCTCTTGGTTCTAAAGTGGCTCTTGGTCCTAAAGTGGCTCTTGGTTCTAAAGTGGCTCTTGGTCCTAAAGTGGTTCTTGGTCATCTTGGTCCCAGATGCTGTCTGAGGGGAGTGTATGTTTTTGGACCAGTCTAGTTCAGTCGCTGTGGACTTTAGAATGTGTTAAATGCATGGGTCTAGCGCAGCTGACACATGTGTGAAAGATCAGGACCAGAGGTGAGGGAGGGAGAGCTTTGACTGCAGACGCTGCTCCCTCTTCATCAGTAAATACCTGCTGCAGCATTTCTTCAGTGGCGTTGAGTTTGTCTCTGTGTTCGTCCAAACACACGTCAAGGTCTCGGATCTTCTCCCCCTGAGCCTCCACCTGGTCCGTCAACACACTCACCTACACAACACAACACACACGTAACACAACACACCTACAGCAGCACAACACACATACAGCAACACAACACACAAACAGCAACACAACACGTCACACAACACACATACAGCAACACAACACACTCACATAAAGCAACACACCACAACTACAAGAACACAACACACTCACCTAAAGTAACACACACTAGCAAGTAAGTTATTAATGTTTATTTATATAGCGCCTTTCACAGACCAGAGTCACAAAGTGGTTTACAATGTTACATTAGTCTCTGACTCCACACAGAGATGGGAGGGGCCAGTACAGGAGGCACCGACCTATCGTGCATGTTTTTAGTGGTAGGGAAACCAGAGCACCCGGAGGAAACCTACGCAGACATGCGGAGAACATGCAAACTCCACTCAGATAGGCCCTGTTCTGACCAGGATTTGAACCCAGGACCTTCTTGCTGAGAAACGAGAGTGCTAACCACTCAGCCACAGTGCCGCCCACTGACATGCAGCAACACACACTGACACAAACTGACCTGCAGTAACATACACTGACACACAAAGAAAGAGAGAAAGAGAGAAAGAAAGAAAGAGAAAGAAAGAAAGACACACAGACAGACGGACAGACCTGCAGGACCAGAGACTCCTTGTCCGTTTCCAGTCTCATGAGTCGTTCCTGATGGTCTCCGCTCAGAGACAAGTGTCCGTTCGACTGAGGACGAAAAGAACTGAAGTTAATTTATCACACACATTAGTCCTGGTCTCTGGACTATCAGACCCTACATGGTTCTATCAGACCCTACATGGTTCTATCAGACCCTACATGGTTCTATCAGACCCTACATGGTTCTATCAGACCCTACATGGTTCTGTCAGACCCTACATGGTTCTGTGGTTCTGCAGCCGCCGCCTATTTCTTCTAAGAACTACATTTAGCTGCATTCCTCAGAGTCTGTAAACACCAGGAAGCCACATCTGCAGCTTTACACAAACCCTACAGTCCTGAGCATGTGATCAGTCCTGGACTGAGACCGGGTGCTAGTCCTAGTCCTAGTCCTAGTCCTGGTCCTGGTCCTAGACAACACTACAGAAAATATGAATAAAGTTTAACTACTGTAACGTCAGAGAAGCTATTTTTTTTTATGGTATGTGTACCATGTGTGTATTTGTGTGTGTGTGTAACATGTGTGTGTTTACCCTGTGTGTGTGTGCCGTGTGTGTACCGTGTGTGTGTACCATGTGTGTGTGTGCCGTGTGTGTACCGTGTGTGTTTACCGTGTGTGTGTGTGTGTACCGTGTGTGTGTGTGTGTGTACCCTGTGTGTGTTTGTGTGTGTTTACCGCGTGTGTGTACTGTGTGTGTACCGTGTGTGTGCGTGTGTGTGTGTGTGTATTTGTGTGTACCGTGTGTGTCTGTGTGTACAGTGTGTTTGTGCCGTGTGTGTGTGTATTTGGGTGTACCGTGTCGATGTTTGTGTGTATTTGTATGTACCGTGTGTGTACCGTGTGTGTGTATTTGTGTCAACCGTGTGTGTGTGTGTCTTACACGTGTACTGTGTGTGTACCGTGTGTTTACCGTGTGTGTGTGTGTGTGTGTGTACCGTGTGTGTGTATCGTGTGTAGTGTGTGTGAACCGTGTGTACCGTGTGTCCCTGGAGCCAGTCCTGCAGGCTCAGGGCGGTCCGGTCTGGAACCAGGCCTCTCAGACTCAGTCTCTCGTCGGTCTCCATCAGGTCCAGGACGTTGTGTAGATCCTCCAGCAGGTGCAGAGCGCGGAGGCTGCCCATGAACGGGGACGAGGGGGACTGACACTCCAGCATCCCATTGGAATAATCCAGGGCCTTGGAGCCTGAGGGCAAAGGACACGTTAGCACAGGTACAGGACTCTACGGCCCCCTACAGCAGCACAGGTACAGGACTCTACGGCAGCACAGGTACAGGACTCTACGGCAGCACAGGTACAGGACTCTACGGCAGCACAGGTACAGGACTCTACGGCAGCACAGGTCTGGTTCAATCTGAGACGATTGTAAAAGAGCCAAACACTGAAATTAATTCTTCAAATTTAAAGAATGAAAATGACGACTGAGAAGATAATCTGAGGATAATCTGAAAATAATCTGAAAATAATCTGAAGATAAATATTATAATTCTGAGATAAAGACACAGAATCTAATCTGAGTTTTATTATGATTTTAATCCAGTACAAAAACAAAGAAGTGAAGTTACCATTTCCTGTACCTGCTATAATCCCATCCATCTGCTCCAGAGCCGCCGCCAACATGTCGCTGGCATCATGTGACATCATCCTCACGCTCTGAAAACAAACAGAACGTTCAGTTCAATGGGCACAAACAACACATTACTCTCTGCCATGCAAGTAAAGTGACTTTACAAAGGGCAGTAAAGTGACTTTATAAAGGGCAGTAAGGTGACTTTATAAAGGGCAGTAAAGTGACTTTATAAAGGGCAGTAAGGTGACTTTATAAAGGGCAGTAAGGTGACTTTATAAGGGCAGTAAAATGACTTTATAAAGGGCAGTAAGGTGACTTTATAAAGGGCAGTAAGGTGACTTTATAAAGGGCAGTGAGGTGACTTTATAAAGGGCAGTAAAGTGAATTTATAAAGGGCAGTAAGGTGACTTTATAAAGGGCAGTAAGGTGACGTTATAAAGGGCAGTAAGGTGACTTTATAAAGGGCAGTAAGGTGACTTTATAAAGGGCAGTAAGGTGACTTTATAAAGGGCAGTGAGGTGACTTTATAAAGGGCAGTGAGGTGACTTTATAAAGGGTAGTAAAGTGACTTTATAAAGGGCAGTGAGGTGACTTTATAAAGGGCAGTGAGGTGACTTTATAAAGGGCAGTAAGGTGACTTTATAAAGGGCAGTAAAATGACTTTATAAAGGGCAGTGAGGTGACTTTATAAAGGGCAGTAAACTGACTTTATAAAGGGCAGTAAAATGACTTTATAAAGGGCAGTAAAATGACTTTATAAAGGGCAGTAAAATGACTTTATAAAGGGCAGTAAGGTGACTTTATAAAGGGCAGTAAGGTGAATTTATAAAGGGCAGTAAGGTGAATTTATAAAGGGCAGTAAGGTGACTTTATAAAGGGCAGTGAAGTGACTTAATAAAGGGCAGTAAAATGACTTTATAAAGGGCAGTGAGGTGACTTTATAAAGGGCAGTGAGGTGACTGAGCAAGACTCCGGGTTCCATTTCTTTCCACTCTACCCTACTCTATCCAACCCTACCCTACCCTACCCTACTTGGCAGAGCTGAAGTTGGCTGGATGATACTGTGAACTCAGGCAAGCGATCTGAACAAACCATCATGGACTGTTGATCCAGTGAGTCGTAAAGGTGTGATTAAAACCTGAAGAGACCTGTGAGAAACTGAGAAGCATGAGTCAGCGTTAGCGTCTGCTATATTTGTTAGTGCAGTGTAAGCTAACAGCAGATGCTAACAGCAGATGCTAACAGCAGATGCTGACTGCAGCCCCGGTGTGCAACATACTGAGCCAGTGTCAGGTCTGAAGAAAGAACAACAAAAGCAGCTAATTACAGAGAACCAGGGTCTCCTCAGATCCAGATGTTTTATTACAGACATCTCCACCTTAAGAGGTTAGCATCATTAAGGCGTAAAACAGTGCTTCCCAATCAGCGGCACTGGGACCTCTTCAAGTATTCATCCACTAACACGAACCAGAAGGTTCTTGATGTTTTAGAGATTATGGACTCAGTAGACTATAGATAACAACATATATGAGGGAGAGAGAGAGAGCGAGAGCGAGCGAGCGAGCGAGCAACCCAGAGAAATGTGTGAATTAAACATTTGAAAGTATAAATGTATGAAATAATGCTAATCCCACAGCAGCAGTCCTCACTGAGCTTCTTCCAAAACGCTAGAACAGAGACTTTTAAACAACTTTGATGCTATTTCTTTATTTTGCAGTGTTTGAAGGTTTTAGGAAACGTGTCTGGGCCTGAAACCTTCATCTTAAATGATCAGAAAGATCACCAGAATCACAGCCAGATACACCGGAATTATCAGTGCTCTGCACAGGCTCTGGGTTTATCTTGTATCTCATGAAGGCCAAGCTCAGCTTCTTCTGCATCTTTCTGAAGAAGCTTGGGTCTGATGGACTTGGATGGACTCTATTCTCCCTGCAGCAGCACTGTCTGCGGAAGAGTCCATAAACAGAGCTGGGCTCAGAGCTGGGCTCAGAGCTGGGCTCAGAGCTGGGCTCAGAGCTGGGCTCAGAGCTGGGCTCAGAGCTGGGCTCAGAGCTGGGCTCAGAGCTGGGCTCAGAGCTGGGCTCAGAGCTGGGCTCAGAGCTGGGCTCCTTCATGCTTTGGTCCAAAGGACTTGAATGGACTCTATTCTTCCTGCAGCAGATCTCTGACATCTCTGTTGTCGACTCCTGTGTCACCATGAAGTCCTGGACCATCCACTCTGGGACATATTGATTGTGGATACCATGGTTACCGGAATTCACTGTATGAGGTCAGACTCTGTAACCGTGGTAACGGCATTCCAGAAGTCCTCCAGACAGACACTTAAAGATTTTTGTTAGTCTATTTGCACTAAATCGGTGGATATTCGGTGGATATTCAAGGTGTGTCACAGCGTCTCCATGACAACAGTTTTTAGTGGTCAACAGACATTTCTGTTCAGAAACAGATTATTGAACTTTCCAGACGTCTCCATGGAAACAAAGAATCCTCTCTGGGTCGGTAGAGTTTGGGACTTAGAGACAGAGTCTGTCACAGAGACACTCTTTGTTTTACTGCGAGACTGAGAGCGAGCAGTGCAATGGGAAAAGCAGCTCAAAGGTACAGGCGCCTCAGAGAGAGAAAAAAAAGGCCCCCCATAGTTCTACAACAATGGTTTATTATTATTAATATTATTAATATTATTTTACCAAACAGATTTATTATTATGAATAATATTATTTTACCAAACAGATATATTATTATTAATATTATTATTTTACCAAATAGATTTATTATTATTAATATTATTATTTTAATAAATGGATTTGACTTCCTGTATTTTGAGTATAAAATAATAAATCATTTTGTTATAATGCTGCCGAGTCATTTTTATATTTGTCTAGTATTCTTCAGTTTAACACACAGCTGCAGAAGGACACAGCAGCTGTGTCCTTCTGCAGCTGTGTCCCACTGCAGCTCTACACACACGTGCTGGTTCTGACGCTTTAGGAGACGAGAGCAGGAACTAAAAACCTCCTTCATAAAGACAACACTTGGTGAAGTATGACGTCATGTAAAGACTGAGGGAAAGAAGATAGCAGGAGGTGAAGCAGCAGGAGCAGCAGGAGGTAAAGCAGCAGAAGGTGAAGCAGCAGGAGGTGAAGCCGCAGGAACAGCAGGAGGTGATGCCGCAGGAGCAGCAGGAGGTGAATCCGCAGGGGCAGCAGGAGGTGAAGCAGCAGGGGCAGCAGGAGGTGAAGCCGCAGGTGCAGCAGGAGGTGAATCTGCAGGGGCAGCAGGAGGTGAAGCAGCAGGGGCAGCAGGAGGTGAATCCGCAGGGGCAGCAGGAGGTGAATCCGCAGGGGCTGCAGGAGGTGAAGCCACAGGGGCTGCAGGAGGTGAATCCGCAGGGGCAGCAGGAGGTGAAGCAGCAGGAGCAGCAGGAGGTGAAGCAGCAGGAGCAGCAGGAGGTGAATCCGCAGGGGCAGCAGGAGGTGAATCCGCAGGGGCAGCAGGAGGTGAATCCGCAGGGGCAGCAGGAGGTGAATCCGCAGGGGCAGCAGGAGGTGAATCCGCAGGGGCAGCAGGAGGTGAATCCGCAGGGGCAGCAGGAGGTGAATCCGCAGGGGCAGCAGGAGGTGAATCCGCAGGGGCAGCAGGAGGTGAAGCCACAGGAGCAGCAGGAGCAGCAGGAGCAAAGAAGAAGCCACTGAGGACATTCCACTCATGTTTTGGCAGGAATGACATATTCCACTCGACGTTTTATTTCTAATGTTTTGGGAAAAAAGCTCAAAGTGAAAGATTCTGTTCCTGCAGCTTCAACAAAGGTCAGAGGTCACTGCCACGAAGAGAAACGTTTAAAGAGGTCAGAACAATGAGGTCAACAATGAGGTCCTGATCAGATTACAGACTGCAATCCTCCCAGCTTTGTTTATGATCAGGACATTAAGCACCGAGACTGAGGAGCGAGGACTGAGGACAGGTCTGAGGTCTGATGACAGGACTAAGGACAGGACTGAGGACAGGACTGAGGACAGGTCTGAGGACTGAGGACAGGTCTGAGGACAGGACTGAGGACAGGACTGAGGACAGGACTGAGGACAGGTCTGAGGACAGGTCTGGGGGCCTCAGGGCAGTTTACAGTGCCCTGAGGTAAATGAGTAAAGAACCGATTGTGAACGTCCTTCTTCGAGATGAGACAAAACAAAGTGTCCAGGTCCATGGGACATCTGGACGAAGCTGAGTCAGACAGCCTTTAAACGTCACTGCTCTAGGACAGATCTGCAGGAGGAATGGGCCAAAATACCAGCATCAGTGAGTGGAAACCGTGTGAACACATCTCACCTTTGCCATCGCCAACAAAGGAACAAGAGACTAATGAGAAGGACTTTTGTTATTTGCAAATTAATTCTTTGATTGGTGGATTTGTTTGCACACTTTGAGGTTTCCTTCTGAGGCAGATCCTCCTGTGTTTCAGGGATTCACACAAACGAGGAACGACTAAAGACGTTTTCCTTGTGATTGGCGCACTCATGTGTGTCGTTTTATAGAGGCTCAGAAAATCCCAGTTTCACCTTCCACCTATCCCTGCCCATTCTCTAGGCAACAATAACATTCATCTTTGGGAGAGTTTAAAGGTTTACAGGAGGATTTTCTGCTTCCGGGTGGATCATCAAGACTATAGGTCCTTTTAACTGTCAATCATTCTGGTGACACGTGCTCGTCCAATCAAATCAGACAGTTTTGTTGAAAAAGTGGAGAGGGCGGTTCTTTCCAAACATTTGGGAAAATCCTCATAAACTGCAAATGTAGCACAGTAGGTGCCCTTTAAACTACAGGAGAAAAGCCTTAGAACTAATGACTTAAAACCCTACAGACGAACCCATTAAAGCTATGACCCCTTTTATTGTACATTTTTATATTCTCCACACTGTATTTAACTTTAACATGATGCACACTTCTGTCTTTTGCACAAAGTGATTCTATCTGAGCTAATGTGACATGTGCATTTACCATCAGAGATCAATAAACTCTATCTTATCATATCTAAACTTAACTAAGCTTCTGTCAGTCTGTATAAAAGTTTAGTAGAATCCGTGGGACCTGGATCCACACAGTCGCAGCTGTTTCCAACAATGGGACGTGTCGGGATTATCTGCTTTAAGCTATTTCTGCTCATCGTAAAGAAGCAGATCAGAAACATGTAGCGGATCACCACGAAGTTAGAGATGTTAGAGATTTTAAAGTTGTTAAAGTTGTTGAAGTTCGAGGCGAGCGTCACGTCCAGAGGGATAGACACGTATTCTCAGAGACTAGTGGGAAAACTCTGGCAAAATCACAGCCCAAAGCCCAGACCCGGACCCGGACTCGGACTCGGACCCAGACTCACCGAATGCGTCCCCGTCACAAACACCGTGTCAGAGAAGGACGTGGATCCTTGTCTTCGGTCTCTCCTGAAGAACAACGTGGATATTTCCAGAACTTTTCTACGCGTCTCCAGATCCCGATTCCTTTTTCCACCATCGCTCTACGCCATGATGCCTGACAGAAACTGTGAAGGGAAAATCTGGGAAGGAAAAATCTGGGAAGGGAAAAATCTGGGAAGGGAAAAAACTGTGAAGGGAAAAACTGTGAAGGGAAAAACTGTGAAGGGAAAAAATAACTATGGTCCTCGGCTCCAGTGTCTCTGCGAGTCCCACACAGAGTCCCAGTACTGGTCCAGTTTTCCCATGACGGCTTCAGGACACTGCAGGACAGACATCCAGACACACAGTCTGCTTTTAAAGAAATCTATAAATCTAAAAACGGACTTTCTTTGTATTCTTCTAATACCACAAGCAGCGAAGAGGTTCCATTTATGGCTTTGACGTTTTGTTTAGTTTAGTATAAAAGTCCAGAGTCTGTCCCTAAAACAGGAAACATGACTCTTGATTATAATATTCCTTTTCTATGAACTTTATATTGAGGCGAGTGAATTTCAACTCACATCAAACCAAAACATTGACCATAGATCCCCGTGAAGGAGCTAGGGCGCCCCCTCGTGGTGCAGTCTGGGAACAACATTTATGTGAAATATTGAGTAAGTAATAATCATTTAGATGTAGATTAAAAAAAAGAGGATTTACTGTGATTGTAATAATAACATACAAAAATCCACATTTATGATCTGCATAGTGGAGCACAGGGACTGGTCTCCTGCTGGGACTCTGAGGAGCACAGGGACTGGCCTACAGGTCTATGATAATTACTGCTGCTGGTATTACATCACATTGTACTAGAGGGGCCTCTGGAGGTATGGGCCTCTGTAGGTAGGGCCTCTGATCCTTCTCTGCCCTGGGGTCACATTCCAGATCTAATCATGTGGAATGCTCTGAGCTCATGACAGAACAAGGTCAAAGAAAACAGAAAGACTGTTTTTTCATCAGAGACAGAGGCAGAGAGAGAGTGACAGAAGCAGAGGCAGAGACAATCAGAGAGAGAGAGACAGAAGCAGAGACAGAGGCAGAGGCTCGGACAGTGACAGAGACAGAGGCAGGGATGGAGACAGAGAGAGGCAGAGACAGAGACAGAGGGAGGCAGAGATAGAGGGAGCTGAATCCTCTGTGCTCTGTTGTGTTATTGTCTTTTTCTCACAAACGCTGATTCTATGTTTATATAAATAACTTCTGGCTCCGCCCTCAGCATGGAACACGAACACACAGTTCTTATTACAGTGGTTTTATTCGTCCGCAGACGTCGTTATTTTCTTTCTTATATAAATAACTTATAAATGAAACAGAAGAGTTTGAAAAAATCTAACATTTTATTTTAGAAGCAAAATATTGAAACTTGTTACAGATGTTTCATTCAGTCATCACCAAACACACACGAGGGGGTGAGGGAGGGAGGGTGATCTAAACTAAACCTTTGAGCCTGAAGGTTGTGGGTTTGAGTCCACCTTAAGACCTACTTCACGACTCCCACTGATGTCTGCTGTCGTTGTGTCCTTGGGCAAGACACTTAAACCCACTTTGCCTGAAGCCCCCACTGAAAGTCCTGTGGACTCACCACCTGCAGGAGCAGTGAGGTGCTGGGGCTCTGAATTGGGTGCAGATCTGACACACACACACACAGTGTGTTGCCGTGACAACATAGAAGGACAATATTTGTAATTTATAAACAAAATTGATTTTTTAGCATAAACAAGTTTTAAATATCTAAAATGTCGACCCAAATTGTCAATATTCATATAATTATTATTACAGTATATTTGTGAATTGGTTCTGTGAGGATGAGGAGGTGAATGTTCTTCTTCACATGCCACGAAGAAACTCTGTCTCTGAGATGGTCTTTCTTCAGTCCAGACCAGGGGGGTCCAGTCCAGAGGGGGGTCCAGACCAGGTTGGGGTCCAGACCAGGGGGGTTAAGTCCAGGGGGGTCCAGACCAGGGGAGTCCAACCAGATGCTAAGGGAGTCTGCAGTGCTCCTGCTTGGTTGGAATGAAAACCTGGAGTCTGACCAGTGTGCGTTAGCCGTTAGCTTGTACATGTGGGCGTTAGCCGTTAGCTTGTACAGAAACAGAGGAGGAAGAAGAAGCTGTAGATTTGTGGAATGATAACTTTTATAAAAAACATCTGAGAAAATAAATAAGCCGTTAGCTTGTACATGTGGGCGTTAGCCTGTACATGTGGGCGTTAGCCGTTAGCTTGAACAGAAACAGAGGAAGAAGAAGCTGTAGATTTCTGGAATGATAACTTTCATAAAAAACATCTGAGAAAATAAAATGTTTTAAATCAGTCTCTGCTCATCATAGATCTATCTCTAACTCTGAGGTTAGAGTCCAGGACATCTCTAATTCTAACTCTTGTTGTTTTGGAGCTGGGGCAGTTAGAGTTGAGTTAGAGATGTGTTAGAGCTGAGTTAGAGCTGAGTTAGAGCTGAGTTAGAGTTGTGCTGAGGTCTAAGGTGTGGGTCCTGAGGCTGGAGTTCCTCATCTTTAAATGTTTAAATTAAAGACCAGTGCATCTCCTCAAAGTCTGATCCGAGGTTTGAGTCCGTGGCCAAGAAGCGCATGATCGCTGAGATGGTCTCCTCATCGTTATCCAGCTCCATCTGCGACGGCTCTGAGGCAGAACATCAGGGGTCAGCAGAGACCAGAGACCAGACCAGAGACCAGACCAGAGAGAGAGACCAGAGAGAGACCAGAGAGAGACCAGAGAGAGACCAGAGAGAGACCAGAGAGAGACCAGAGAGAGACCAGAGACCATCACATGTTACTTGCCAAACCCAGATAATGAACTTTACCCATTTGTGCGTCTCCTGAAAAGGCGGCTCCCTGCGGCTCCTCCTCAGACGAGGACTTCCCTGGTTTCTCAGAATCTGTGGCTTCTCCGTTTGGCACCTTAGGTGAAGTAACACAAGTCTGTAGGAAACACACAAGTCTGTAGGAGACACACAAGTCTGTAGGACACACACAAGTCTGTAGGACACACACAAGTCTGTAGGAGACACACAAGTCTGTAGGAGACACACACGTCTGTAGGACACACACAAGTCCAGGGCTGGACTGGCCATCGGGCGTACCGGGCAATGCCCGAAGGGCCGATGCCCATATATGGGCCGGTCTGTCTGCCTCATACAAAAAACATGTTTGTGAAAAGTGTAAATCTGTTGAGAATTGTTTGAGGGGGGCGCGTGTCCGCGGGGCACCTGCTGCATGTACTCGAACGGGATTCCACCACCTCAGCGGCCGCAGTGTTCCGGCATCCAGCGGCTCTGAGCTGGACGCAGGAACCGCTCACCGGGAACCGCTCACAACACGGTGAGCGCGTAGCCGCAGCGTGACCATGGACCCAAGACCATAAACGTGCACAGGACCATGCATGTCTTTTCGTAATTTGTGCACCCAATAAATACACCGCTGCAGAAAACAGTCCGCGTCTCCCCTCTCCTCTAAATTAAAGCTCGGGTACCTACATTTTCCATTGCATTAAAAGTTCATGTTTGAGCCCAAAAGTAAAATGTTGTGAACGGATTAAACAGATTTAGAGCCAGCTAATGGCTGACATTATGCATTTCAGACATTTTGACCAATTCTCATCCCTGTAACAAATAATAGTATTGTCTGTGTCCACCTCCCTCACTCTGAGACATGTTTATTACTCTGTTTAATGTAAACTATTGTACTTTATGTTATTGTTGAAACTGCAGACATCCTGATCCTCTACAGTATGCTTCCACATACTGTATAAACCAGGGGTCAACCTTTAGTGCTCCTAAAGTGGCTCCTGGAGCCTTTTCAAAAATCTCTGAAAATGGAGTGTGAGGGCTATATTTTATTTCTAGTTTCAATGTGGTTTCTGTAGAAGGAAAAACATTCTTAAAGTTTTTCAATGCTGCAAAAACTTGTATAAGTAATATTCAATTTTAGCATTTCTGTCAACGTAGTGCGTCATATCCTGTGACGCGGCCCGTGCCAGGCGGCCGCTGTTGTAAACAAACCGGCGTGTGTGCAGTATAGACTGTGTGTGCGCACGGATCCCAAAGATAAAGAGAGAGAGTCGATAAGACTGGACTAAGAATGAGAATGAACATTTGCTTTCAGTCAATGAGGAAGGACTGCTTCATGTTTGCGATGTAATGAAAAGTTTTGTTGCAACAGGAGGAACAATGAAGCTTTAAACACCGTTCACTGAAAGATTCATTCATCATAAAGTCAGAGCACCTATTTTCAGACTTCAAAAACCTCCGCAAAGACGGTGAAAGAAAAGGCCATTAAGGACATTCAGCTCCAGCAAACTTCAGCCTGTGATGGATATGAACAGACAGTGATGCAGGTGAACTCGGCAAAAAAAAATCAGATGTATTTACTGTATTTGTACAATTGCATGAAGGCAAAAAAATTGAAGTTAAACTAAAAGCAGAGTTGTCACGTGGTGCGTCATTCTCTCCAGGACACGCTGCAGTGAAAATACACATCTGATAATCATGAATGGTTTTTATGTGTTTAGACTTTACTTTGTCATTTAGATATTAGTCTAATATAGCTAATGTAGCTAAGGTAGCTAATGTAGCTAATGTAGCTTCAGCCCGTTACCTTCATATAAGCCTTATAAAACGCTGTTTTTTTTTTTTTTGCGGCTCCAGACAGATGTTGTTTTTAGTTTTTTTGTCAAATATGGCTCCTTGAACCTTTTGAGTTGCCTGGGCCGCTAAAAAGGAAAAAATGCCCGGGCCGTTTTTTTGTCCCAGTCCAGCCCTGCTCACGTCTATAGGAGACACACAAGTCTGTAGGAGACACACAAGTCTGTAGGAGACACACAAGTATATAGGAGACACACAAGTATATAGGAGACACACAAGTCTGTAGGAGACACACAAGTCTGTAGGACACACACAAGTCTGTAGGACACACACAAGTCTGTAGGAGACACACAAGTCTGTAGGAGACACACACTGATACAACAGAGACACTCAGACCTGGTTGTGAGTCTGTGGAGACTTGGGCGGGAGACTGAGGGGACTCACGTTACCACTAGGGGGCGACGAGTTGATTCTAGACACACAAATAATGAATATTATTTATTATAATTATATAAATACTCAGAATGTAAGACCAGAGAGAGACCAGAGAGAGAGACCAGAGAGAGAGACCAGAGAGAGAGACCAGAGAGAGAGACCAGAGAGAGAGACCAGAGAGAGAGACCAGAGAGAGACCAGAGAGAGAGACCAGAGAGAGAGACCAGAGAGAGACCAGAGAGAGAGACCAGAGAGAGACCAGAGAGAGACCAGAGAGAGACCAGAGAAAGAGACCAGAGAGAGAGACCAGAGAGAGACCAGAGAGAGACCAGAGAGAGACCAGAGAGAGACCAGAGAGAGACCAGAGAGAGACCAGAGAGAGACCAGAGAGAGAGAGACCAGAGAGAGAGACCAGAGAGAGAGAGACCAGAGAGAGAGACCAGAGAGAGACCAGAGAGAGACCAGAGAGAGACCAGAGAGAGAGACCGGAGAGAGACCAGAGAGAGAGACCAGAGAGAGACCAGAGAGAGACCAGAGAAAGAGACCAGAGAGAGAGACCAGAGAGAGAGACCAGAGAGAGAGACCAGAGAGAGACCAGAGAGAGAGACCAGAGAGAGAGACCAGAGAGAGAGACCAGAGAGAGACCAGAGAGAGACCAGAGAGAGACCAGAGAGAGACCAGAGAGAGACCAGAGAGAGACCAGAGAGAGACCAGAGAGAGACCAGAGAGAGACCAGAGAGAGACCAGAGAGAGAGACCAGAGAGAGAGACCAGAGAGAGAGACCAGAGAGACCAGAGAGAGAGACCAGAGAGAGACCAGAGAGAGAGACCAGAGAGAGACCAGAGAGAGAGAGACCAGAGAGAGAGAGAGACCAGAGAGAGAGAGAGACCAGAGAGACCAGAGAGAGAGACCAGAGAGAGAGACCAGAGAGAGAGACCAGAGAGAGAGACCAGAGAGAGAGACCAGAGAAAGAGACCAGAGAGAGAGACCAGAGAGAGAGACCAGAGAGAGAGATACCAGAGAGAGACCAGAGAGAAAGACCAAACATTAGCAAACAAAAATGTAGTTCTATGAGCACATGAACCTTTCAGGCTGAGTTCAAAGAGGGTGTTAGCCAATAACACACACAACAGATACACACACACACACTACATGTACATTTACACACACAAACACACTACAGATACACGCACACTCTACAGGTACATTTACACAAAAGACAGTGTTATTTGTGTAGCACAGTTCAAAAACACACACACACACACCTGTTACAGTCCAGCAGCTCGTTAGCGATCTGGATCCCGATGCTTCCAGGAAATATCATGGCTCCAGGAGTCGAGCTCCACGGAACCACAGCCTTCTTCCCATCTGAGAAGGAACCACAGAGAGAAGGAACCACAGAACCACAAAGAGAAGGAACCACAGAACCACAAAGAGAAGGAACCACAGAACCACAAAGAGAAGGAACCACAGAACCACAGAGAGAAGGAACCACAGACAGAAGGAACCACAGAACCACAGAGAACCTCGTCAGGGGAACATGTTCTACTGTAGAGAACATGTTCTACTGTAGAGAACATGTTCTACTGTAGAGAACATGTTCTACTGTAGAGAACATGTTCTACTGTAGAGAACATGTTCTACTGTAGAGAACATGTTCTACTGTAGAGAACGTGTTCTACTGTAGAGAACATGTTCTACTGTAGAGAACATGTTCTACTGTAGAGAACGTGTCTGGTTCTGGTCTAGTGTTGTTCTGATCCGGTGTTGTTCTGGTCTCACCTTCAGATGTCTTGCAGTTGGAGGATGGTCCAGATCTGGATCCTGATTGGTTTGTTCGACTGTGGTCGTATCTGAATAAAACATGATCAAAAGAACGTAAATAAGTCAATGGTAAATAACACAGTGTATTATAATACTACTGTACTACTAATATTTTATATATATATATATATATATATATATATAAATAATACTCACAATATGACAGGTTATATATAAATATGCTAATATAAAACTATACTAATATAATACTCACGATATGACAGTGTTGGTGGACACGATGTACTCCACTTCTTTGGTCCAAGGGTTTATGAAACTAAACCACAGACTTTGCAGCGAGACGAAGGAGCCGTGTTTGGTTTTGAATTTATAACAATTTGTTTCTACTTTCTCTTTACTTCGAAGAACTGTGAACAGAGACAGAGACACTGAGATAGAAACACATACTGAGACAGAGACACAGTGACACAGAGACTGAGACACAGAGACACTGAGATAGACACAGAGACTGAGACAGAGACACAGTGACACTGAGATGGACACAGAGACTGAGACACAGAGACAGAGACACTGAGACACAGAGACAGAGACACAGATCCTGAGACAGAGACCGAGACACAGATACTGAGACAGAGACACAGAGACAGAGATACTGAGACTGAGACAGACACAGAGACACAGAGATACTGAGACAGAGACAGAGACAGAGACACAGAGACAGACTCTGTACCTTTACGGTGTCTTTCTGCTAAATGAACCCAGTCGTCCTGATGGAAGTATTCATAACACGAGGTCCCGAGCAGCTCCTGTGGCAGGTACCCCAGGACTGTGGTGGCCCTGAACCATACATCAGACCATACATCAGACAATACATCAGACAATACATCAGACAATACATCAGACAATACATCAGACAATACATCAGACCAGAGAGAGACCAGAGAGAGAAACCAAAGAGAGACAAGAGAGAAACCAGAGAGAGACCAGAGAGAAACCAGAGAGAGACCAGAGAGAAACCAGAGAGAGACCAGAGAGAGAGACCAGAGAGAGACCAGAGAGAAACCAGAGAGAAACCAGAGAGAGACCAGACAGAGAGACCAGAGAGAGACCAGAGAGAGACCAGAGAGAAACCAGACAGAGAGACCAGAGAGAGACCAGAGAGAAACCAGAGAGAGACCAGAGAGAAACCAGAGAGACCAGAGAGAAACCAGAGAGAGAGACCAGAGAGAGACCAGAGAGAAACCAGAGAGAGACCAGAGAGAGACCAGAGAGAGACCAGAGAGAGACCAGAGAGAGAGACCAGAGAGAGAAACCAAAGAGAGACCAGAGAGAGAAACCAGAGAGAGACCAGTGAGAGAGAGACCAGAGAGAGAGAGACCAGAGAGAGGGAGACCAGAGAGAGAGAGACCAGAGAGAGAGACCCGAGAGAGAGAGACCAGAGAGAGAAAACAGATAGAGATTAGAGAGAGACCAGAGAGAAAGACCAGAAAGAGAGACCAGAGAGAGAGAGACCAGTGAGAGAGACCAGAGAGAGACTAGAGACGGACGAGAGAGAGAGACAAGAGAGACCAGAGAGAGAGACCAGAGAGAGAGACCAGAGAGAGACCAGAGTGAGACTAGAGGCAACACAGAAACTGATCAGGAGTTAAACCCAGACTCTCTCACCGTTGGTCTACAAAGGTGAACTTTCCGTCCATGGCGTATCGTGTGACGAACTCTGTGGGTTTGACTGACAGCTCGGGGCTGTGCAGCGAGGAGCCGTGGGAGTGGATCCGCCCCAGAGCCACGAGGCACGAGGAGCTGTCTGCCTCAGCCTCTCCTTCTGATCCCAGCTCAGACTCTCCTTCTGGTCCCAGCTGACTGCACGGCCAGCTGCGCATGTAACCAGTGCAGTGGACCGTGCAGAACCGCTGCGACTCTGCAACACACACTCAACACACAACAACATCACCAACACTAACCCTACCACAACACACTCACTACACACGTCTGCATAACAACACACTCACTACACACGTCTGCAACACAACACACTCACTACACACGTCTGCAACACAACACACTCACTACACACGTCTGCAACACAACACACTCACTACACACGTCTGCATCACAACACACTACACACATCTGCATCACAACACACTACACACGTCTGCATCACAACACACTGCACACGTCTGCATCACGACACACTCACTACACACGTCTGCATCACGACAAACTCACTACACACGTCTGCATCACGACACACTCACTACACACGTCTGCATCACGACAAACTCACTACACACGTCTGCATCACAACACACTCACTACACACGTCTGCATCACGACAAACTCACTACACACACGTCTGCATCACAACACACTCACTACACACGTCTGCATCACGACAAACTCACTACACACGTCTGCATCACAACACACTCACTACACACGTCTGCAACACAACACACTCACTACACACGTCTGCATCACGACACACTCACTACACACGTCTGCAACACAACACACTCACTACACACGTCTGCATCACGACACACTCACTACACACGTCTGCATCACGACACACTCACTACACACGTCTGCATAACAACACACTCACTACACACGTCTGCATCACGACACACTCACTACACACGTCTGCATCACAACACACTACACACGTCTGCATCACAACACACTCACTACACACGTCTGCAACACAACACACTCACTACACACGTCTGCAACACAACACACTCACTACACACGTCTGCAACACAACACGCTCACTACACACGTCTGCATCACAACACACTACACACGTCTGCAACACAACACACTCACTACACACGTCTGCAACACAACACAACACACTACACACGTCTGCAACACAACACAAAGAGACACACACACACACACACACAGAGACACACACACATACAGACACACACACACACACACAGAGACACACAGACACACACACACACAGACAGACACAGACACAGACACACACACACACACACCTTTCTTCTTGGAGGCTCCGCCCTGAAACTCCTTTTCCTCCATTTTGACTGAAACTTTATTGTACTTCATTCGACAGAAGAAGGAACGACGGGCGCCAGAACACAACCGTGATGCACCGATGGGAAGGTCAGCCTGGACCTGCAGACCAGCTACACACACACACACACACACACACAGTGACACACAGCTGTTAATGTGTTGTATACAACTATACAACACACACAGCTGTAAAGATGTGTATCTATACAACACACACACACACACCGATGGGGAGGTCACTTTCTGTGGCTCAGTGAATAGATTTTAAAGCATCTCTGCAAATGTTAGTGCCTCTGAGGAGCACAGGGACTGGTCTCCTGCTGGGACTCTGAGGAGCACAGGGACTGGCCTCCTGCTGGGACTCTGAGGAGCACAGGGACTAGCCTCCTGCTGGGACTCTGAGGAGCACAGGGACAGACCCTCGGTACAAAAACATGATTTACTTTTAGCGTCGATGAGTCGTTCTCTCGGGAACAGCTCTGAGGCCGACAGCTGCTCCTTCACTTTGCTCATGTCTTTGGGATGAATGTAATCAAACAGATTCTGACCAATCAGCTCGCTCTGAGGAGAGACACAGGGTTAATGAGAGAGACCAGAGAGAGACCAGAGAGAGACCAGAGAGAGACCAGAGAGAGACCAGAGAGGGAGACCAGAGAGGGAGACCAGAGAGGGAGACCAGAGAGGGAGACCAGAGAGGGAGACCAGAGAGGGAGACCAGAGAGGGAGACCAGAGAGGGAGACCAGAGAGAGAGACCAGAAAGAGACCAGAGAGGGAGACCAGAGAGAGACCAGAGAGGGAGACCAGAGAGGGAGACCAGAGAGGGAGACCAGAGAGGGAGACCAGAGAGAGAGACCAGAGAGAGAGACCAGAAAGAGACCAGAGAGGGAGACCAGAGAGAGACCAGAGAGGGACCAGAGAGGGAGACCAGAGAGAGACCAGAGAGGGACCAGAGAGGGAGACCAGAGAGAGAGACCAGAAAGAGACCAGAGAGGGAGACCAGAGAGAGACCAGAGAGGGACCAGAGAGGGAGACCAGAGAGAGAGACCAGAGAGGGAGACCAGAGAGGGAGACCAGAGAGAGAGACCAGAGAGGGAGACCAGAGAGAGAGACCAGAGAGAGAGACCAGAGAGAGAGACCAGAGAGAGAGACCAGAGAGAGAGACCAGAGAGAGACCAGAGAGGGAGACCAGAGAGAGAGACCAGAGAGAGACCAGAGAGAGAGACCAGAGAGAGAGACCAGAGAGAGAGACCAGAGAGGGAGACCAGAGAGAGAGACCAGAGAGAGAGACCAGAGAGGGAGACCAGAGAGAGAGACCATAGAGGGAGACCAGAGAGAGAGACCAGAGAGAGAGACCAGAGAGAGAGACCTGAGAGGGAGACCAGAGAGAGAGACCAGAGAGAGACCAGAGAGGGAGACCAGAGAGAGAGACCAGAGAGAGAGACCAGAGAGGGAGACCAGAGAGGGAGACCAGAGAGGGAGACCAGAGAGGGAGACCAGCGAGGGAGACCAGAGAGGGAGACCAGAGAGGGAGACCAGAGAGGGAGACCAGAGAGGGAGACCAGAGAGAGACCAGAGAGAGACCAGAGAGAGAGACCAGAGAGAGAGACCAGAGAGGGAGACCAGAGAGAGAGACCAGAGAGGGAGACCAGAGAGAGAGACCAGAGAGAGACCAGAGAGGGAGACCAGAGAGAGAGACCAGAGAGAGAGACCAGAGAGGGAGACCAGAGAGAGAGACCAGAGAGAGAGACCAGAGAGAGAGACCAGAGAGAGACCAGAGAGGGAGACCAGAGAGAGAGACCATAGAGGGAGACCAGAGAGAGAGACCAGAGAGAGAGACCAGAGAGAGAGACCTGAGAGGGAGACCAGAGAGAGAGACCAGAGAGGGAGACCAGAGAGAGAGACCAGAGAGAGACCAGAGAGGGAGACCAGAGAGAGAGACCAGAGAGGGAGACCAGAGAGGGAGACCTGAGAGGGAGACCAGAGAGAGAGACCAGAGAGGGAGACCAGAGAGAGAGACCAGAGAGAGACCAGAGAGAGACCAGAGAGGGAGACCAGAGAGAGAGACCAGAGAGGGAGACCAGAGAGGGAGACCAGAGAGGGAGACCAGAGAGGGAGACCAGAGAGGGAGACCAGAGAGGGAGACCAGCGAGGGAGACCAGAGAGGGAGACCAGAGAGGGAGACCAGAGAGGGAGACCAGAGAGAGACCAGAGAGAGACCAGAGAGAGACCAGAGAGAGAGACCAGAGAGAGAGACCAGAGAGAGAGACCAGAGAGGGAGACCAGAGAGAGAGACCAGAGAGGGAGACCAGAGAGAGAGACCAGAGAGAGACTAGAGAGAGACTAGAGAGACCATAATAACAGTGGCTTCATGGTGTCTGTAAACATTACCCTACTATAGTTTAATATCTTTGTGACCGACTCCGAGACAAAGACTATTTTTCCGCGATCACAGCCCACGACAAACAGGAACCCGTCAGCTGCCTGCGAGATCACAGGGACAAGGGATCACAGGGACAAGGGATCACAGGGACAAAGGAACACAGGAGAAGAGTCAGAATCAGCAACTTTCACACGGAACATAAAAGGGTGTTCACCTTAAGGACCAGATGTTTCAGCTCCTCGTCAGGAATGAACGATGGTTTGTAGCTGGCCTCGGAGAAAGAGCTTCCAGAACCTGGAGATTAGGATTAGATTAAGATTAAGATCCTTTACTCGTCCCACAGAGAAATGTCAGCGTTGCATCGTCACAGAACAGTAGAATGAGGAATCAAGATAAACAATAAAATAAAATAAAATCTGTACCTTTAGGTTTTGTCCCTAATAATTAATTAATTCATCAATCATGTCCCTCTGCTCAAGTCCCTGTGCTCATGTCCCTCCGCTCGTGTCCCTGTGCTCATTTGCGTCCCTCCGCTCATGTCCCTCTGCTCATGTCCGTCCCTGTGCTCATGTCCCTCTGCTCATGTCCCTCCGCTCATGTCCCTGTGCTCATGTCCCTCTGCTCATGTCCCTCTGCTCATGTCCCTCCGCTCATGTCCCTCCGCTCATGTCCCTCTGCTCATGTCCGTCCCTGTGTTCATGTCCCTCTGCTCATGTCCCTCTGCTCATGTCCGTCCCTGTGCTCATGTCCCTCTGCTCATGTCCCTCTGCTCATGTCCCTCTGCTCATGTCCCTCTGCTCATGTCCATCCCTCTGCTACAGAGTTATTTATGCACCTTCAGGATGGAAAAGCAAATTAATTCAGTGATCAAAGCTTCTTTCAGCTCTGGGTCTTGAGCAAAGTGAAGGTTCACATCCCACTGACTTTGAGCCTGTTATCCACCTTTTTATTTCATCTAGGTTAGATCACGGCAACTCACTGTGGTCTGGACCTGAGCTGCTCACAGGGACAGAGAGAGCACATCACCCCCGTGCTGGCCTCACTTCACCGGCTCACAGGGACAGAGAGAGCACATCACCCCCGTGCTGGCCTCACTTCACCGGCTCACAGGGACAGAGAGAGCACATCACCGCCGTGCTGGCCTCACTTCACCGGCTCACAGGGACAGAGAGAGCACATCACCCCCGTGCTGGCCTCACTTCACCGGCTCACAGGGACAGAGAGAGCACATCACCCCCGTGCTGGCCTCACTTCACCGGCTCACAGGGACAGAGAGAGCACATCACCCCGTGCTGGCCTCACTTCTTTCTCCGTCTGCTCCGCTCAGATCAGCTATGTCCAAAAACCAACTGTTGTTGAACGTGCCCCGGTATTGTCTCAAAACTCGTGGAGACCAGACCAGACCAGACCAGACCAGACCAGACCAGACCAAAGCACTTTGGGCAGCTGGTGTTGTTGTAAATGTGCCATGCAAATAAAGTTGACATTGACAGAGACAGGGGGTTCTATATTTGCTCATTCTTACATTAGTTTTGTTCCTTATCTACCTGTGGTTCTGTGTAACGGTTTGGTGTTGTACCTTTGAGTGAGCACAGGTACAGTACCTTTGAGTGAGCGCAGGTGCTGCAGGGCCATCCTCAGCACAGTGAGTTTGTCCAGTTTGCGGGACATGGCGTGGGGCACAGGGATCATGGTGGACAGTTTATCGATCAGGTTGTTCATCCGCACTCGTCTCCTTTTCTCAATCTGACTGTGAGGCTCTCTGCATCAGGAGGGGCCGAAAACATCAGAAATCATCAGAAAAACATCAGAAATCTATGAAAACACACGATTAAAACACATGATGAAAACACAGAAAGTTTGAACAAACCTGCAGCACTTGACTTTGGCGTGTTGGTCGTCTTCATCAGACCTGTCACCGACAACACACTTCAGAGTCACACACTATTACAGAGAAAAGTTACACAACTTTCTCACCCGTCATCGTCCATATCCTCATCAAACATGGACACAGACTTGGATTCCCTGGAACAGAAAGAGACCAGAGAGAGACCAGAGAGAGACCAGAGAGAGACCAGAGAGAGAGAGACCAGAGATAGACCAGAGAGAGACCAGAGAGAGGCCAGAGAGAGAGACCAGAGAGAGACCAGAGAGAGAGAGAGACCAGAGATAGACCAGAGAGATCAGAGAGAGACCAGAGAAAGAGACCAGAGAGAGAGAGAGACCAGAGATAGACCAGAGATAGACCAGAGAGAGACCAGAGAGAGACCAGAGAAAGAGACCAGAGAGAGACCAGAGAGAGACCAGAGAAAGAGACCAGAGAGAGAGACCAGAGAGAGAGACCAGAGAGAGAGACCAGAGAGAGAGACCAGAAAGAGCAGAGTTAGTGTAGCTCTGGGTGGAACAGTGTCCTTCCTGGTGTGAGACTCACTGGTTGTCTGTGCTTCCTTTGCGTTTCCGTGGGACCTCCATCATTGAGGACAAGCTGGAGGACGATGGAGGACTCATGAGGTCCGACAGACACATGGAACTGCCCTCTACAGCCGAGGCCTCTTCTGCTACACACAACACAATAATACATCTTCATTTGTATAGCACACACAAAGTCATATTTATTTATCTAGCACATTTCACACACACAGCACTTTACAGATTTGATTTAACACATTCCCACCACACTCTCCTCACTCTTTACACTCATTCGTCTTGTTTCTAGTGGTAAAGGAAACCGGAGCACCTGGAGGAATCCTACACAGACACAGGGAGAATGTGCAAACTCCAGTCCACACAGATCTTCCCTGTCTGATAACAACAATAACCTTGCTCTCAATTTAAGACCATCCCCATCAGCAGATCTGGCAACCTGATTTTTAATCCTAGTCCCTGTTTTTTAATCCTAGTCCCTCTCACTTTTAAGCCTAGTCCCTGTCTTTCAATCCTAGTCCCTCTCACTTTTAATCCTAGTCCCTGTCTTTCAATCCTAGTCCCTCTCACTTTTAATCCTAGTCCCTGTCTTTCAATCCTAGTCCCTCTCACTTTTAATCCAAGTCCCTGTCTTTCAATCCTGGTCCTTCTCACTTTTAATCCTAGTCCCTGTCTTTCAATCCTAGTCCCTCTCACTTTTAATCCTAGTCCCTGTCTTTCAATCCTAGTCCCTCTCACTTTTAATCCTAGTCCCTGTTTTTAAATCCTAGTCCCTCTCACTTTTAATCCCAGTCCCTGTCTTTTAATTCTAGTCCCTGTCTTTTAATTCTAGTCCCTGATTTTTAATCCTAGTCCCTCCGTCTTTCAATCCTAGTCCCTCTGTCTTTCAATCCTAGTCCCTCTGTCTTTCAATCCTAGTCCCTCTGTCTTTCAATCCTAGTCCCTCTCACTTTTAATCCTAGTCCTTCTCCCTTTTAATCCTAGTCCCTCTGTCTTTTAATCCTAGTCCCTGTTTTTAATCCTAGTCCCTCTCACTTTTAATCCTAGTCCTTCTCCCTTTTAATCCTAGTCCCTGTCTTTAAATCCTAGTCCCTGTTCTTTAATCCTAGTCCCTGTCTTTTAATCCTAGTCCCTGTCTTGAAATCCTAGTCCCTCTCACCCTTAATCTACGTCCCTGTCTTTAAATCCTAGTCCCTGTTCTTTAATCCTAGTCCCTGTCTTTTAATCCTAGTCCATGTTTTGTAATCCTACTCCCTCTCACCTTTAATCCTAGTCCCTGTTTTTAATCCTAGTCCCTGTTTTTTAATCCTAGTCCCTCTGTCTTTCAATCCTAGTCCCTGTTTTAAATCCTAGTCCCTCTCACTTTTAATCCTAGTCCCTGTCTTTAAATCCTAGTCCCTGTTCTTTAATCCTAGTCCCTGTCTTTTAATCCTAGTCCATGTTTTGTAATCCTAGTCCCTCTGTCTTTTAATCCTAGTCCCTGTCTTTTAATCCTAGTCCCTGTCTTTTAATCCTAGTCCCCCTGTTTTTTAATCCTAGTCCCTATGTATTTTAATCCTAGTCCCTGTTTTTTAATCCTTGTCCTTGTTTTTTAATCCTAGTCCCTGTCTTTCAATCCTAGTCCCCTGTCTTTTAATCCTTGTCCCTGTCTTTTCATCCTAGTCCCTGTCTTTCAAACCTAGTCCCTGTCTTTTAATCCTTGTCCCTGTTTTTTTAATCCTAGTCCCAGCAGAAGGCTAGTCCCTGTGCTCCTCTATCTCTGAGTAATGTAATAACGTAATATTTAATCTATAACCCATCATAAAAAGGGAGTATAGGTACAAATGTAACTTCACTAATGTAACTTCACTATAGGAGACACTGTAAAATATACAGGTGATAATCCACGTTAGCAGCTGTGGATACAGCAGCTGTGGATCCAGAGACTCCTGGTCTTTGAACACAACGAAGACAAACACATCTATTTCTGTCCAGAGCAAAAACAGAGAGAGACAGAGACACAGAGAGAGAGACACAGAGACAGAAATACAGAGGCAGAGAGAGAAGCACAGACAGAGAGAGAAGCACAGACAGAGAGAGAAGCACAGAGACAGAGAGACAGAGACAGAGAGAGAAGCACAGAGACAGAGAGACAGAGACAGAGAGAGAAGCAGAGACAGAGAGACAGAGACAGAGAGAGAAGCACAGACAGAGAGAGAAGCACAGAGACAGAGAGACAGAGAGAGAAGCACAGACAGAGAGAGAAGCACAGAGACAGAGAGACAGAGAGAGAAGCAGAGACAAACGTAACATTCATATTAACATTATTAAGACATACAGATCATTATGACATAAACATAAACATTATTATGACATACAGATCCTGTAGAAGCGGAGACTGAGGACGTGGGAAACGCGGTGATCGCAGAAAACGTGCAGGAGACGAAAAACAACGCGATGTAACGTTACGTAAAAACCACAGATAGTTTGCTCCAGTGATCTACTGACCTACATTCACACGGAGCTGTGGCCTCCCCCGTCCAGCACCACACACACACATATATATATATATACATACATATATATATTAATATATACATATATTTGTATACTTATACCCACATATACATCTATGACACATGTCTGTGGACCTCAGACCCTGTACCTGCCGCCTGCGCCGATCTGTCACCGCCGCCGGCCGTCGCACTCCGGGCGGACATGGCTCCAGCCACAGGCGCGGGTCCGAGTCCGGGTCCGGGGCCCAGGACACAAATACATGGAACCTGCTCCTGGAGTCTGGAAACAGGAGGTTTGTACAGAGAGAGGAGCAGATCCGCTCAAGACACAAACAGTGTAAACATCAAAGATGGCTGTGCGCGAGGACAGAGAACACGACATGGAAGGACAGGACTCCCCCTGCAGGCCGCGAGAGGAACTGCACTATGATACTGAGGAGCACAGGGACTGGCCTTCTGCTGGGACTCTGAGGAGCACAGGGACTGGCCTCCTGCTGGGACTCTGAGGAGCACAGGGACTGGCCTCCTGCTGGGACTCTGAGGAGCACAGGGACTGGCCTCCTGCTGGGACTCTGAGGAGCACAGGGACTGGCCTCCTGCTGGGACTCTGAGGAGCACAAGGACTGGCCTTGAATATGCCTTGTGTAGGAACTGGATGAATCATTGTAGACTGTATCTAACACTTGTAGTTTCTTTTAGAACGGAAAAGAATCACATCATGTTAAAAAGAGTTGATTTTACATTTATTTAAAGAACAGAAAATTATCTTTGGTGTCATCAAATAAATTCAATATAACTGTGACTGAGGCGACGATGGATTTATTTGTTTTGAGTCTCATGACCTTTTCATCAGTTGCTTCCTCGGTGACCATGGGCATATGGAGCTGCTCAGTCCCTCAGATTAAACATGGATTATATCAGAGGTCTATGGTGTACAGATTGCACACATTCACTCATGTACAGGCTTCTTTGGGTATAAAAGCTCCCAAAAATACTATTATTATTATTATTATTATATTATATTATTTTGTTTAATTTCCAGAGACCTGTTTTTAAACTGCACCAGTGTGTGGATTAACATTTACAGTCTATGGGATTAACTCTTTCTGACTATTGTTATTCAGTCTGTGAAGAACAATAGCATTAGCCTTTAGCCAGCTTTAGCTACTGGCTAAAGGCTAATGCTAACTGCTGCAAGTAAACAGTGGCTCTATCCGAATGTCAGTATAATTAAAAAACAAACAATGATTTCCTTAAAGTAACGAGAGAGAAACAACCCACACCTGGACACAAAGTTAGTAATTAATCGTCAAAATGACTGCTCTCGTGTAAAAGACCATGTGCCACTGAACCCCGCTCCTCAGAGGACTGTGGTTTTGTTCATAAAGATAAATATTGAACAGAAACCTCCAATGTTTCCAACGAAGGAGGAAAAACAGAATGAATGAAAACAACAGTACCTTAGCCCGGACACCAGGGAGCGCTGCTGACTCCTCAGTCCGGACACCAGGGGGCGCTGGTGACTCCTCAGTCCGGACACCAGGGAGCGCTGGTGACTCTTCAGTCCGGACACCAGGGGGCGCTGGTGACTCTTCAGTCCGGACACCAGGGAGCGCTGGTGACTCTTCAGTCCGGACACCAGGGAGCGCTGGTGACTCTTCAGTCCGGACACCAGGGGGCGCTGGTGACTCTTCAGTCCGGACACCAGGGGGCGCTGGTGACTTAGGCTCCAGACTCAACAGGTCTCAGTAATGACGCTTCTGTCATGTTTAAGATTCAGTGTTTTAGTTGTGGACAAAGAGATTAAATGCAGAGCACCAAGAGTATTATAATGAATCTGAGACTAAAACAGCAGGTTCTTGTTTATGATTATACAATTATTAATATCAATGAGTTAATCCTGTGCTACATTGTTGCCAGATCCTCTCAGGTTCATACATATTTAAGCACAAAGGCAACAGGAGCCTCAGATCAGCCTGGGGTAATGGGAGGTGCAGCCTGCTCCTCCTCCTACTCCCTCCTGCACCTCCTCCTCCCTCCTCCTTCCCCCCTCCTCCTCCTTCTTCTTCCCTCCCCCCCTTCCCCCCTCCCCAATCCTCCTCCCTCCTCCTCCCTCCTCCTCCCTCCCCTCCTCCCCTCCTCCCCTCCTCCCCTCCTCCCTCCTCCTCCTCAGCTGAGTGGGATGGAGCTCTCTGCCTCTCCACCTGCAGACGGGACTGGACTATAGGACTACAGCCTCTCACTGTGGACATGGAGAGCTGTATTTGTTGATTTTCTTTATGTTTGTGGAAAAGTGTTTTGCTCAAAGGTCGAGGTGTGAAGGAGATGAAGAGGAGTTTGTTATAGACTTTGGCCGTTAACTCGCCGCGGACTGAAAATGCCTTTTGGAGGTTTGTCCAGTTTGAAGGAGCAGGTGTTTAAACCTGGGAAAGAGGAGGTGAAGAACTCTGTGGGGGACTCTTTGGGGAAACTACAACGGTAAGAAATGTTATATATATGTATATATGTATATGTATATATATATATATATATATATATATATATATGTCTGATGAGTCCTGATCCTCCTGCTTCACACAATAGTCTCACATGAAGATAAGAACTAATATCTAATATCTGGTGGTTTACATTTGTACCGAGACAACGTCAGAGCACAGGGCCTTCTCAGCGGTCTTAAACCCAGAGCACAGGGCCTTCTCTGTGGTCTTAAACCCAGAGCACAGGGCCTTCTCTGTGGTCTTAAACCCAGAGCACAGGGCCTTCTCTGTGGTCTTAAACCCAGAGCACAGGGCTTTCTCTGTGGTCTTAAACCCAGAGCACAGGGCCTTCTCAGTGGTCTTAAACCCAGAGCACAGGGCCTTCTCAGTGGTCATAAACCCAGAGCACAGGGCCATTCTGACTTGTAGACCGGTTATACTTGATGTTCTGTATGTATTGATATATAAATTTAATATATATAAATGTAATATATATAAATAAGGAGCAGGCTGTAAAGTTCCGCTGAACCTGATCCTGAGGCGCGGCTGCTGCATGTGAGTGATTGACAGGTCATGAAAGATTGAACAGAAAGTGGAAAAACAGTCGTTTGTTCATTTAATCAATGAGGTCGAGTTCTGAGGCTCCAGAGTCTGTGGGAGTTAATCCAGATATATACACATATATACTGTATAGATAGATAGATATAGATATATTGATAAACACACACATTTGGCCCTCCGCGGGCGGTTATCCCTCTCTAAGCTTGGGTCCTCTACCAGAGGCCTGGGAGCTTGAGGGTTCTGTGCATTATCTTTGCTGTTCCTAGCACTGCACATTTCTGGACCCAGATGTCCGAGGTTGTTCCAGGGATCCGCTGTAACCACTCTTCTAGCTTCGGGGCCACTGCCCCGAGTGCACCGATCACCACGGGCACTACTGTCACTTTTACCCTCCAGACACTCTCCAGTTCCTCTCTGAGACCTTGGTATTTCTCAAGCTTTTCGTGTTCTTTTTTCCTGATGTTACCATCGCTTGGAATTGCCACGTCCACCACCACGGCTGTCCTCTGCCCTGTTGGTTCATTACCATTTGGTCGGTCTGTATCTGGAAGTCCCACAGGATCTTCACATGCTCATTCTCCACCACCTTTGGAGGAGTTTCCCACTTAGACCTTGGGGTTTCCAGCCCATACTCTGCACAGATGTTTCTGTACACTATGCCAGCCACTTGGTTATGGCGTTCCATGTAGGCCTTCCCTGCCAGCATCTTGCACCCTGCAGTTATGTGTTGGATTGTCTCAGGTGCCTCTTTGCACAACCGACACCTTGGGTCTTGTCTGGTGTGGTATATCTGGGCCTCTATCGCTCTGGTGCTCAGGGCCTGTTCCTGTGCAGCCATGATGAGTGCCTCTGTGCTGTCCTGTAGGCCAGCCCTTTCTAGCCATTGGTAGGACTTCTTGAGATCAGCCACTTCTGTTATGCTCCGGTGGTACATGCCGTGTAGGGGCTTGTCCTCCCATGATGGTATATTATATAGATAGATATATGTATATATATATGAACGTACGCTATAATACTGCATCAAGCGACACTGAGGCCAAGTTACAGGTGTGATCCGTGGAGAGGCGACCCCAGAGTCTGTTCAGTGGGAGCCAAGGTTTAGTGTTTTTACACTGGATTCAACACAAGATGAACGTGAGTTCTAGACCCTTTGGAGCTACATCCACAGGTGTTTGGGATCTTTCTGCTTTTGGAGGTTTGTTCTAAAGCCTCTGAAACTCAGAGGACACATGTCCTACAGGAAATAAACTATATGTTTGGAAGGATCCGACTTTAGACCCATCAGACCCATCAGACCCACAGGGAAGAACTGATATATTTAGAAGTTCAGATGAAGAAGAAGTTCAACTTCAGATTCACCGACACTGATGAAGTCTGGAGGAGAGAGTTTAATGGAAACTGAGTCTAGACCCCAGTGCTGGAGTCCCCAGGGTCCTCGACCCCGGTCCTGGAGTCCCCAGGGTCCTAGACCCCGGTGCTGGAGTCCCCAGGTTGAGCTAACATTACAATACTCCACTGGATTGGGAGGAGGAGGGTCACTGCGCGAACAGCAGCTTGAAGCCGTAGAGGACTGAGAGGCAGATGTCATGCTGTAGGTCTTTGCTGCTTTAATAAACAAACTTCTGCTGTAGAAAAATGGACGGCTGTAACATGGAGGAGGAGGAGTTAGAGCTGACGGAGGACGGGCGGCCTGTGGCCTCGGCGCCACGGGAGCGCCCCCTGGTGGACTGCACCTGCTTCGGTCTCCCCAGACGCTACATCCTGGCCATTCTCAGCGGCCTCGGCTTCTGCATCTCCTTCGGGATCCGCTGTAACCTGGGCGTGGCCATCGTGGAGATGGTCAACAACAACACGGTCTACATCAACGGAACGCCAGTCCTCCAGGTGAGAGAGACCAGAGAGAGACCAGAGAGAGACCAGAGAGAGAGAGACCAGAGAGAGAGACCAGAGAGAGAGACCAGAGAGTGACCAGAGAGAGAGACCAGAGAGAAACCAGAGAGAAACCAGAGAGAGACCAGAGAGAGAGACCAGAGAGAGAGAGCCCAGAGAGAGAGACCAGAGAGAGAGACCAGAGAGAGACCATAGAGAGAGAGACCAGAGAGAAACCAGAGAGAGACCAGAGAGAGAGAGACCAGAGAGAAACCAGAGAGAGACCAGAGAGAGAGACCAGAGAGAGACCAGAGAGAGACCAGAGAGAGAGACCAGAGAGAGACCAGAGAGAGACCAGAAAGAGACCAGAGAGAGAGACCAGAGAGAGACCAGAGAGAGACCAGAGCGAGACCAGAGAGAGCGAATATAACCCCTGACTTGATGGTAACAAAAGTATGTTTTTCCTCCTTCAGAAAGCACAGTTTAACTGGAACCCAGAGACCGTGGGTCTGATCCATGGCTCCTTCTTCTGGGGATACATCGTGACTCAGATCCCTGGAGGATTCATCGCCAACAAACTGATGGCAAACAGGTCTTTCACACACACTCAGGGTTTACATTTTCTGGTTCATGTCCCTCTGGTTCATCTGGTTTAGCTTCCTCTGGTTTATCCTCTTCTGGTAAAGTTTTACAGTGTAGTTTATCACCTCTGTGTTTGGTGGATGTGGGTGAGTATGAGGAGGAGGAGGAGGAGGAGATGAAGGCGATGAAGGAGATAAACCGCTGTAATAAAATCTTCAGGAAAAGAGGAGCCGTCGCTGACACAGTTAATAATGAAAGATCCTGCCTCTGATTTCTCCCTGAAACATCAGACACTGGAATATTACTCGTGTCACTTACGCGGCGCCGCAGACACAGAGGATCAGAGGACTTTACACTGACGATGTCCTAACAACAGATTAGAGACTCAAACACAAACACAAGAAATGCAAAATAATAATAAAGGGGCGCAGGACCAATGTCCATAAATGTCTCCCTGGTGTCTCTCTGGTCTCTCTCTCTGGTCTCTCTCTGGTCTCTCTCTGGTCTCTCTCTGGTCTCTCTTTGGAATCTCTCTTCGGTCTCTCCCTGGTCTCTCTCTGGTCTCTCTTTGGAATCTCTCTTCGGTCTCTCCCTGGTCTCTCTCTGGTCTCCATGATCTCTCTCTGGTCTCTCTCTGGTCTCTCTGGTCTCTCTCTGGTGTCTCTCTCTGGCCTCTCTCTGGCCTCTCTCTGGTCTCTCTCTGGTCTCCATGGTCTCTCTGGTCTCTCTCTGGTCTCTCCCTCTCTGGTCTCTCTCTGGCCTCTCTCTCTGGCCTCTCTCTGGTCTCTCTCTGGTCTCTATCTGGTCTCTCTCTGATCTCCATGGTCTCTCTCTGGTCTCTCTCTGGTCTCTCTCTCTGGTCTCTCTCTGGTCTTTCTCTCTGGTCTCTCTCTGGTCTTTCTCTCTGGTCTCTCTCGCTGGTTTCTCTCTGGTCTCTCTCTGGTCTCTCTCTCTGGTCTCTCTCTGGTCTCTCTCTGGTCTCTCTCGCTGGTCTCTGGTCTCTCTCTGGTCTCTCTCTCTGGTCTCTCTCTGGTCTCTCTCTCTGTAGATAAAGCTGGGGTACCTAACTTTCAAACCACAGAAGGAATAAAGTGCATCCAATCAATTATGTACTTTTTCTTTTTTTACATTACATTTGAATCAAATAAAAAGTGGGGCGACAGTAGCTCAGTTGGTAGAGCATTGGCCTTTGGGCCTGGGGTTCATGGGTTCGATTGCCACCATGGGACCTACTCCAACTGCTCCCACTGATGTCTACCGTCGTTGTGTCCTTGTGCAAGACACTTAACCCCACGTTGCCTGAAGCCCCCCGCTGAAAGACCAAGGCTGTTTCACTGTTGATGGAGCAGCCATCTTCCTGTGGACTCACCCCCTGCAGAGGATCAGCAAGGGACTGGTGCTATGAGCATTGGGTGGCGGCCCCCCCCCCCCCCCCCCCCCCCCCCGACCCAGAAATGGAATAATCAAGGGGTTGAAAATGAAAGAATGAATGAACATTTGAATCAAAGAAAATAAACAAGTTCCAGGAGCTCGACCCAGCGCAAAAGTACATTTGTGTATACATATTTGTATTGTGTTTATATATTTGTTTGTGTGGGTAGCTCTCTCGCTTCTCAGCAAGAAGGTCCTGGGTTCGAATCCCGGTCGGAACAGGGTCTTTCTGAGTGGAGTTTGCATGTTCTCCCCGTGTCTGCGTAGGTTTCCTCCAGGTGCTCCGGTTACCCTACCACTAAAAACATGTACAATAGGTCTGAATGTAATGAGAGAGTGGATTGTGTTTGGTTGGAGGCTTTGATGGACCAGTGTGTTCTGGACTCGCTTCATCACCGTGTGGAGGGATTGGAACTATATCTGACTCTGAACATTGTAAACAGCTTTGGGTGCCCCTGGTCTGTAAAAATGTGCTATATAAATAAACATGACTTACTTACACATACGTAGATCCTAAACGCCCCGAACTGTTTTGTTCCAGAGTGTTTGGAGCCGCCATCTTTCTGACGTCAACGTTGAACATGTTCATTCCATCCGCAGCCAGGGTTCACTACGGCTGTGTGATGTTTGTGCGGATCCTGCAGGGCTTAGTGGAGGTAATACCCCTGTCACAGGTAAAAAACTGTCACATACAGGTAAAACACGTCACTCACAGCTATGGAGCCGAGTGGGTGGGGCCTAAGTCTACACAAGTAACACTGCCATTTAATGTATCTGTAGGAGCTTAGAAAAGTCAAAATATACCATTAAATTCAATGTGTTTGTGTATAGCCCTGAATCACAACTCTCTCTGGTCTCTCTCTCTGGTCTCTCTCTGGCCTCTCTCTGGTCTCTCTCCCTGGTCTCTCTCTGGTCTCCCTCTGGTCTCTCTCTGGTCTCTCTCTCTGGTCTCTCTCTGGCCTCTCTCTGGTCTCTCTCCCTGGTCTCTCTCTGGTCTCCCTCTGGTCTCTCTCTGGTCTCTCTCTGGTCTCTCTCTGGCCTCTCTCTGGTCTCTCTCCCTGGTCTCTCTCTGGTCTCCCTCTGGTCTCTCTCTCTGGTCTCTCTCTGGTCTCTCTCCCTGGTCTCTCTCTGGTCTCTCTCTGGTCACATGACACCCGTGCCTCTCTCTCATTGGCTGTTTCCTGTGGCCTCAGGGTGTCACGTACCCGGCCTGTCATGGACTCTGGGCCAAATGGGCTCCACCTCTGGAGAGGAGTCGACTCGCCACCACCTCCTTCTGTGGTGAGTTTTATTATACTCTAGGTTAATGATGGTTAATTGTGCTTTATGATATCATGAAGTATTTATTATCATGCTAAAATATTCTTCAATATTTAATATTGTACTGGTGACAGTTCCATTAAAACTGTTATTTCATGTTATTTAATGTCAGCATTTGGAAAAATGAAGCTAAAGCTGAGGTTCAGGCAAAAGTCCTCTGAGATGACTACCGTTGTGATTTAGGGCGACACAAGAATAAATTGAATTGTATTGTAAATGACTCAGAGCTCACTGCACTCAATCATTTGTGCATTAACCCTCCTCCTCCCCATCGCCGCCTCGGCCTCAGAGGACCACCATCAGGGTCTAGGCCTAGGTCAAGGCCCTGGGGGATTTCATTTCCTAATCTCTATTTCCCATTCTGTGTTTGTCATGTGATCTGGCAGAGTCTATTGTGATCTGAACCAGAGTCTAATGTGATCTGCCAGAGTCTAATGTGATCTGAACCAGAGTCTAATGTGATCTGAACCAGAGTCTAATGTGATCTGAACCAGAGTCTAATGTGATCTGAACCAGAGTCTAATATGATCTGAACCAGAGTCTAATGTGATCTGCCAGAGTCTAATGTGATCTGAACCAGAGTCTAATGTGATCTGAACCAGAGTCTAATGTGATCTGAACCAGAGTCTAATGTGATCTGAACCAGAGTCTAATATGATCTGAACCAGAGTCTAATGTGATCTGCCAGAGTCTAATGTGATCTGAACCAGAGTCTAATATGATCTGAACCAGAGTCTAATGTGATCTGAACCAGAGTCTAATGTGATCTGAACCAGAGTCTAATGTGATCTGAACCAGAGTCTAATGTGATCTGTCAGAGTCTAATGTGATCTGAACCAGAGTCTAATGTGATCTGCCAGAGTCTAATGTGATCTGAACCAGAGTCTAATGTGATCTGTCAGAGTCTACTGTGATCTGTCAGAGTCTAATGTGATCTGCCAGAGTCTAATGTGATGTGTTGCAGGGTCTTACGCTGGAGCCGTGATAGCGATGCCTCTGGCCGGGGTCCTGGTGCAGTATGTGGGCTGGCCCTCTGTCTTTTATGTTTACGGTGAGTTCTTTATTGTTGAAACCTTTTTATGACTTATACAGACCCTCAGACTGTAGACCTCAGACTGTAGACCTCAGACTGTAGACCCTCAGACTGTAGACCCTCAGACTGTAGACCCTCAGACTGTAGACCTCAGACTGTAGACCTCAGACTGTAGACCCTCAGACTGTGGACCCTCAGACTGTAGACCTCAGACTGTAGACCTCAGACTGTAGACCTCAGACTGTAGACCCTCAGACTGTAGACCCTCAGACTGTAGACCTCAGACTGTAGACCCTCAGACTGTAGACCTCAGACTGTAGACCTCAGACTGTAGACCTCAGACTGTAGACCCTCAGACTGTAGACCCTCAGACTGTAGACCCTCAGACTGTAGACCTTAGACTGTAGACCCTCAGACTGTGGACCCTCAGACTGTAGACCTCAGACTGTAGACCCTCAGACTGTAGACCCTCAGACTGTAGACCCTCAGACTGTAGACCTCAGACTGTAGACCCTCAGACTGTAGACCCTCAGACTGTAGACCCTCAGACTGTAGACCCTCAGACTGTGGACCCTCAGACTGTAGACCTCAGACTGTAGACCTCAGACTGTAGACCTCAGACTGTAGACCCTCAGACTGTAGACCCTCAGACTGTAGACCCTCAGACTGTAGACCCTCAGACTGTGGACCCTCAGACTGTAGACCTCAGACTGTAGACCTCAGACTGTAGACCTCAGACTGTAGACCTCAGACTGTAGACCCTCAGACTGTAGACCCTCAGACTGTGGACCCTCAGACTGTAGACCCTCAGACTGTAGACCTCAGACTGTAGACCTCAGACTGTAGACCCTCAGACTGTGGACCCTCAGACTGTAGACCCTCAGATTGTAGACCTCAGACTGTAGACCTCAGACTGTAGACCTCAGACTGTAGACCCTCAGACTGTAGACCCTCAGACTGTAGACCCTCAGACTGTAGACCTCAGACCGCAGACCCTCAGATGATAAATGATTATTTTGTAGACACAGATGTTTTCCGGAACAGAATCTCACTCAGACAGAACAGATGAATACAAAAGAACTTGTGTTTTAATAAAGCGGCGCTCTGCGTCTGCTGCGATATCATCTCATGATTTATTGAAGCAAATGAGCGTCTTCCGCTCTGTCACTTTGTTCATAATGAAAACCTGCAGAGCTGACCTTTAAACCAGGTTTTTAATAGTGCTTCATCAGAACTCGGCTCCTTCTCCTCAAACATATGTGTGTTTTCTGCAGGGGTCTTCGGGCTCATCTGGTACATCATGTGGTTGTTGTTGGCCTACGGAAGCCCGGCGGCTCATCCCACCATCAGCGACGAGGAGAGACTCTACATCGAGACCGCCATCGGGGAGAGCACCAGTAAGCTGAGCGCCACCGGGGTAGGCTCCCGTTACTGTCCTTCTGTTCTGTGGCCCTCAGATGGTTCCTCAGATGGTTCCTCAGATGGTTCCTCAGATGGTTCCTCAGATGGTTCCTCAGATGGTTCCTCAGATCATGATTGTGGAGGAGACATGTTAGCAATAGCCACAGCTAAAGCTAACATCTTTTAGACGTTCCTGTTTTCAAGAGAGAGATTGAGGCTTTTAAGTTTGGCACAAATATTGAAAATCAGATATAGTCTGATTATATATAATCATATTATATATGTTCTAATCTGTGCCTGGCACCACATACTGTGGTCTGCTGCTGTGTCGGCACTTTGTTGTAATGTTTACTGTGGGAGACTCAACGAGTTACTGTGTCTCATCACCATGGAGACGAGTTACTGTGTCTTATCACCATGGAGACGTGTTACAGTGTCTTATCACCATGGAGACGTGTTACTGTGTCTTATCACCATGGAGACATGTTACAGTGTCTTGTCACTGTGGAGACAAGTTACTGTGTCTTATCGCCATGGAGATGTGTCATTGTGTTTAGCACTCTCGCTTCTCAGCAAGAAAGTCCTGGGTTCAAATCCTGGTCGGAACAGGGCCTTTCTGAGTTGAGTTTGCATGTTCTCCCCATGTCTGTGTAGGTTTCCTCCGGGTACACCAGTTTCCCCTACCACTAAAAACATGTACAATAGGTCTGTGCCTCCTGGCCCCTCCCATCTCTGTGTGGAGTGAGAGACTGATGCCCACTGTAAACCACTTTGACTCTGGTCTGTGAAAGGCACTATATACAGTAAATAAACATTACTGACTTACTTACTGTGTCTCATCTCCATGGAGACGTGTCACTGTGTCTCATCTCCATGGAGACGTGTCACTGTGTCTCATCGCCATGGAGACGTGTTACTCATGATCATTAATGTACTTTTGTAGAAGTTTAAAACGCCGTGGCGCCGCTTCTTCACCTCGATGCCGGTTTACGCCATCATCGTGGCCAACTTCTGCCGCAGCTGGACCTTCTACCTGCTGCTCATCAGTCAGCCCGCCTACTTTGAAGAGGTGTTTGGCTTCCCCATCAGTAAGGTCAGCACCTGTAGCTCTCCAACCTCTCTCAAACCTGTAGCTCTCAAATCTGTAGCTCTCCATCCTGTAGCTCGCCAAAGGATTTAGAAATGAACAAATCAAATAAAACATACTTATATTTCAGATTGTATTATTGATTATCCTTTTTTAAATTGTATTGTCAGTAGTAACAAAAATGTGACGATAAAGACTGTTCCTGATCATGTTCTTATGCTACAGTAACATGTTCTTATGCTACAGTAACATGTTCTTATGCTACAGTATCATGTTCTTATGCTACAGTAACATGTTCTTATGCTACAGTATCATGTTCTTATGCTACAGTAACATGTTCTTATGCTACAGTATCATGTTCTTATGCTACAGTAACATGTTCTTATGCTACAGTATCATGTTCTTATGCTACAGTAACATGTTCTTATGCTACAGTAACATGTTCTTATGCTACAGTATCATGTTCTTATGCTACAGTATCATGTTCTTATGCTACAGTAACATGTTCTTATGCTACAGTAACATGTTCTTATGCTACAGTAACATGTTCTTATGCTACAGTAACATGTTCTTATGCTACAGTAACATGTTCTTATGCTACAGTAACATGCTACACGTGTGTTCTGACCAGGTGGGGATGCTGTCCGCCGTGCCCCACCTGGTGATGACCATCGTGGTGCCGATCGGAGGACAACTGGCAGATTATCTACGCACCAACAAGATCATGTCCACCACCAACGTGCGAAAGATCATGAACTGTGGAGGTCTGTGATCTGTCTGTGATCTGTCTTTGATCTGTCTTTGATCTGTCTGTGATCTGTCTGTGATCTGTGTTTGATCTGTGTTTGATCTGTCTGTGATCTGTCTTTGATCTGTCTGTGATCTGTCTGTGATCTGTCTTTGATCTGTCTGTGATCTGTGTTTGATCTGTCTTTGATCTGTCTTTGATCTGTCTGTGATCTGTCTTTGATCTGTCTGTGATCTGTCTGTGATCTGTGTTTGATCTGTCTGTGATCTGTGTTTGATCTGTCTGTGATCTGTCTGTGATCTGTCTGTGATCTGTCTTTGATCTGTCTGTGATCTGTCTGTGATCTGTGTTTGATCTGTCTGTGATCTGTCTGTGATCTGTCTGTGATCTGTCTGTGATCTGTCTTTGATCTGTCTGTGATCTGTCTGTGATCTGTCTTTGATCTGTCTGTGATCTGTCTGTGATCTGTCTTTGATCTGTCTGTGATCTGTCTGTGATCTGTCTTTGATCTGTCTTTGATCTGTGTTTGATCTATCTGTGATCTGTCTGTGATCTGTCTTTGATCTGTCTTTGATCTGTCTTGCACATTTATTCCACGGTGGTTTTACTGCAGGGTTTGGGATGGAGGCCACGCTGCTGCTGGTGGTGGGTTTCTCTCACACTCGAGCCGTCGCCATCTCCTTCCTGGTCCTCGCTGTCGGCTTCAGTGGGTTCGCCATCTCAGGTTTGTGTGTGTGTGTTTGTGTGTGTTTTTGTGTATCTGTGTGTCTCTGTGTGTGTAGGCCTGTCGCGATATTCAATAAATCAATTAATCGCATGATAATTAAAATTAGCTCGATAGTTTCCTGGCCGCGATGAATTCCATTTGCATGCTTGTTTGTTTTCCCGTCTCCCTCTCCCTCTCGGGTCAGAGAAATGCAAAGTGGTCACGCGAGCAGACTGAAATAACTCAAAAATACAAAATACAGCCAAAACAGGACCTAAACCAGGACCTAAACCAGGACTTAACCAGGACTTAACCAGGATTGACAACGGGGGACACAGTAGTTGTTCTCATTCAGGCTCTGGTAGTGACTAAACTAGCGCAGTTAGCATTAACGTGTTCGCTGATGCGGAAGTACCGTTTAACTATATCGCCATTTGAATCATATTTGATCAAGCCCCGGCGATCCAAGATGGCGCCCTATTCAAATGAATGGTTGTGCTCAGTGGCGCTTTGTGACGGCATGGGGGCAGAAAGATTAGCGGAAGTTGCCTGAAACTCGCAAAGATCTATGGGAAACTCGCCTGTATTTGGGCATCGTCTGGTCCTCCCGGTTCTGTGCAGTGGATGATCTCCCATAATGCGTTGCGCCAAACACGCGTGTGTAGGTCTCACACCAGGTCTCACGCACGTGCACAGAGGGTCTCACGCACGTGCACAGAGGGGCTCGGCCGCGCTCTGACCAATCAGAGCAGTTCATCAGAGCGGGAGTTAGAGCGAGAGCCAGAGGAGCAGAGTTTGTGGCACTAAAGTGTGGATTTAAACAAAACCGAAAGATTTAAGAAGAAAAAAAGTTCAGGATGACAAGGGACACTAAAATCCCCACAAAATCCGATCTTTATTAAAGCTGTAGGTTCTCTGTCAGGTTCTCTGTCAGCTGAGGTCGAGCTGTTTTAATATGCATTGAGTTCTGTGGGGAAAATTTCTGGGTAGCCCACGTGAATTTAGTCTGGTTCAGTCTGCAGTACCGCGAGAATCCCCTGAGCACGTGAGTTATTCAGCTACAAGCTAGTAATACCCTATCCAGTTATTATAATACATCCATGTATTTGATACATGAATTTCTGAGCTCCCTCCATAATCAGTGTGTTATTATTTTTTTTCTACAAAAACATTTTGTATACAATTAGACACTTGTAATGCACATGTCCATCCACCAGAGGTCAGTAATTTGGGCTTTAAAGTGACGGGAGTGAAACGTCAACACACACTCATTGAACTCTTTGACCCACATGTTAAAGCTGCACTAACTGACTTTATTTTTGTATTCATTACGAAAGTGCTATCCATGTCCATGTAGTGCATTGGGATATACATCATTTTGAAGAAAAAGTAGCGCAGATTTGTGCTGGCGTGACATTATATTTTAGATCGAGTTTTGATGAAACAAGGAAGAGATGTGTTTCGGGTCGCAGATTGTGACCAATAGCAGCGCACCACTAGACCCCACTTTCGTGAGAAATCTACAGGTCCGTTAGCACAGACAGCTGAGTTAGCACAACAAGCCGAGGAGCTAACCTGAAACTTTGTGTGTCTTCGTCACCGGTTACTGCTTACACAGCGAGACAGCCGTCCAAAAGAAAGTCTCGTTCCTCCGCGCTTCCTGGTTCTATCGTTCTATGGTCACGCCATCCACGTGCAAATCCATATTTGTGTATTATCCATATTGGGAGACACTAACTCCGTCCCAACAGTGGGTGTGTGTGTGGGGGCGATAGCTTTGTGGGTGCGGGGAGGGGAGCAGAAAGAGAGAGGCCAGCGAGTCTGCGGCTTCAAAATCCCAAAGTCAGTTAGTGCAGCTTTAAATGTTTAGCTAACATAATTTCAAATTGAAACTTTTTAAGGTGAGAAAAACGTAAAAATTGTTACTGATACTTCAAAGGCAATGTCTAGAGGATTCATGCAATGTAAAACTTTAAAACATTTTACAACCTAATTTATAGTCAAGCCATGTTGAAATTGTCTGTATCAAATTCTATACAGCGGGTATTTTATTTTCTACTATGTTTTTCATTTTTTCATTGTTTTTCAAGACTTATGCATCAAATAAAGCAACACCCAGTTTTTTATCTCGTATAATTTTTTAAAAATTAGCTTTAACTATATAATCCAGGTTTATTTGGGGCAAATATTTTTTAGTCATGACCTTTGATGTATATCAGTCGTCATAAATAATTATTACAATACAAAAAAATTGTTTGGGAGGATTAGTGGATAAAAGTATAATATGGGTAAGTCGATTTTTTGTTTAAAAAATAATAGATTCCACGTAATAAAATATTGTGAATTTTTTCAGATGGAAAAAAATAATAAAGCATTGAAGATGTTGTGACAATGATTATCAATAGGCATTCGAGTGACATGAAGGAATACATTTTTATAAAAATATAAATACTTTTCTTCTGATAGAAAACACTAATATTGAATGTGGATGGTTCTGTTCATACTCGCGAACAAAAACCCCGATGTATCAAAAGTGATACAAATCAATAGTCATATTTGCGGATTGAAAGTTTATTTTTTGATTTATATTTATGTTACAGGGCTCAGTAATCTCACCAGTCTCAAATATCAGAATTTTCTGGCAATTTTTTTATGGACCAGGCTTTTTTAATAATAAAATAAACGTATGACGCACCTCCGTGAACACATACTGCTGTTATATAAAGTCTCTGGAAGGTCTCTGGACAAAGAGACGCTGCAGAGCTGCATTATTGGCAAGAATTTTACACAAAAAGCCGCTAGCATAATGCTAATTCCGTTAGCAACAAGCTAGCGGATTTTTACATCCGCCACTTCCGGCGGTGGTCTTTAAAAATAAAAGTGTATTTCTCTTTGAAAAGGTGTACCTGCATTATTATCATTGTATTAGATAAAAATAATCTCAGAACGACAATACTATCGCAATAATTTCTGAGACAATTAATTGTCCAGCAAAATTTTTAATTGTGACAGGCCAAAGCCCCAACTAAAAGATCAAGGCTATGCTCACACTCAGAGAGCAGCCGTCCTCCTGTGGACTCACCACCTGCAGAGGGTCAGTGAGGGGCTGGTGCTATGAGACTTGGGTGGCATCTCTGACTGCCACCCCCCTGACCCAGAAATGGATTAAAGGGTAGAAAATGGATGGATGGATGGATGGACAGGCCTATGTGTGTGTGTGTGTCACATACAGAGTGTGTCATTTACAGAGTGTGTGTCATTTACAGAGTGTGTGTCACATACAGAGTGTGTCATTTACAGAGTGTGTGTCATTTACAGAGTGTGTCTTCCAGGTTTCAATGTGAATCACTTGGACATCGCTCCACGTTATGCCAGTATCCTGATGGGAATCTCCAACGGAGTCGGAACTCTGTCTGGGATGGTCTGTCCTCTTATAGTGGGAGCTCTGACCATACACAAGGTACACACACACACACACACACACACACACACACACAAAGGAGAACATTGACCTAGAACCTTCAGGGAAGATTAAACACAACAAAAACAGGTCTGTTTCTCATTTGTTTATTTTTAAAAGTCAAACGGAACAAAACCTGCAGGTGTCCAGCAGGAGGCGATCATTCCTATTGTTTTAGTGCATCGACAACACTGAGGCTGGAGGTTTAAAGTGTTCCTCTGGTCATCAAGGTTTCAAACTCCATCCATCCAACCATCCATTTTCTTCCCCTTAATCCATTTCTGGGTCGGGGGGGGGGTGGCAGTCAGAGCTGCACCCAGTACACAGAGCACCAGCCCCTCACTGATCCTCCTGCACGTGCTGAGTTCACAGAAGCAAACTCACCATAGATATTTCCTCTCAAAACCCCCCTCCACAGACCCGGTTGGACTGTCTCATGACCTCTCCCCCCCTCTCCTCCCTCTCCTGCCTCTACCCCTTACCCCCACAGACCCGGCTGGAGTGGCAGAACGTCTTCATCATCGCGTCCATGGTGCATTACTCTGGTGTGATCTTCTACGCCATCTTTGCGTCTGGGGAGCAGCAGGACTGGGCCAACCCCGAGGACACCAGCGAGGACAAGCTGAACATCCTGGACCAGGACGAGCTCGCGGAGGAGGCGGAGCTCACCAGCGAGACCTCCGCCACCAAGAGCTACGGCACCGCGGAACACTCCTCCGGCCGTAAGCAGGGTTGGAGGAAGCAGAAGGGGGCCACCATGCAAGACGAAGAGCACTACAGCAACGGGGACTACCAGGAAGGATACCAGTGACAGGGACCAGGAAGGAGACCAGGATGGAGACCAGGAAGGACCCCAGGAAGAAGACCAGGAAGGACCCAGGATGGAGACCAGGAAGGAGACCAGTGAAGGATACCAGTAAGGAGACCAGGAAGGACCCCAGGAAGGAGACCAGGATGGAGACCAGAACAGACCCCAGGAAGGAGACCAGTGCTGGAGACCAGGAAGGACCACGGGAAGGAGACCAGTGAGCTCCAAAGGAATACACACTGATTTGTTTGTTTTGCCGTTATAAAAAAAGAGTTTGGGATCCTCCACTTGTCTTTGTGTGAGATTCAAAGAAAGACTTGAGCTATTAAGATGTGATTTAGTCATAGCTTCATGGTTCTGTTTTCTTTTACCAGGTGCACCGTGTAAGTTTGCCAGTGACAGGCCTCGAATCTTACGCTCTATCATGGCTGCTCAACTCGGTTATCAAAGGGACTGTAGTGGTTATCAGTTCAACCAAAGCCATGTCCACACGTAGCCGGGTTTTTTTTTTAACGGAATATTTCCCCCCCCTCCGTTTATAAAATAATTTGCGTCCACACATAACCGAACATCTGCGTTTTCAATGACATTAATAAAATTCCAAACACGTGCGTCCTCTGATGTCTTGCGTTGGGGGAAAAACACAGAAGTGGGCGGAGCTTTGATGCAGACGCCGGTACTTCTGTAGCGGCACTTTTACAGTCATAGAAGAAACTCAGAGTGAAGACAAATTATTATAGATCCATGGTAAAGACATATGTTTACAAGCACTGACCCCCTCCTCAGCCCTGGTTTGATCCTGGTTTGATCCTGGTTTGCTCCTGTTTTGGTTGTTTTCGAGCGTGAGTCCCCGTGATCACTTTGCTGTTCTCTGATGTGGAGGATGTTTTTAAGGCAGAAAGATCCTTCTTCAGTGATCTGAGGTCGCATTTTTTTGTTGTTGTTGTTGTTTTGGGGGCACACTGTGGCGTGCGAAAACGCAAAAGTCCGGTTTTCTCTGTCTACTCAAAAATGCATAAACAGAGTTTTCAAAAATCTCTACTTCGCCCGGAGGTTTTTATATATTCGTTTATGATGAGTTGTCATGTGGATGACAGGTGCAAACGAAGACAAAAATCTGCGGTTTAGCAGATACCCGGCTACGTGTGGAAGGGACCCAAAGCAGGTCCTTCCAGCTCACACCAGACTAGCTGAGAGACTAGAAATCACAAAGTCCAGATCATGTTCATGGTGCTCATTTGCATCTCATTAGCATAGCCCCGCCCCCTGTCACTAACGGTCACAGATATAAACATATACTGCATGTGTTGAGTTCTGCAGTCTCTCCATCATATGCAATGTGAAAAGTAATGTAGTGGTCTGTTAGGCAGCGGACTGTCATGTTAGCATAAGTTAGCATATATTAGCATAAGTTAGCATATTTTAGCACATTTTAGTATAAGTTAGCATATGGTAGCACGTATTAGCATATGTTAGCATATCTTCGCATAAGTTAGCATATTTAAGCATATGCTAGCACTTGTTGACACATGTTTGTATAAGTTAGCATATGTTAGCATAAATTAGCCTATGTTAGTATATGTTAGCATAAATCTGCCTGGAACTGTACTGTAAATATGTGATGTTTCCAATAGTTGCACCTTTTTCTTGTTTGGAGGCTGTTCTCGTTTGTGCTTTGGGCGTTTTGTGCATTAATGTGTTATACTGCAGCTTATATACATATGGACTAGAGGCCACCCGCGGTACTGCAGCTTAAATACATATGGACTAGAGGCCACCCGCGGTACTGCAGCTTAAATACATATAGACTAGAGGGCCACCCGCGGTACTGCAGCTTAAATACATATGGACTAGAGGCCACCCGCGGTACTGCAGCTTAAATACATATGGACTAGAGGCCACCCGCGGTACTGCAGCTTAAATACATATGGACTAGAGGCCACCCGCGGTACTGCAGCTTAAATACATATGGACTAGAGGCCACCCGCGGTACTGCAGCTTAAATACATATGGACTAGAGGCCACCCGCGGTATTGCAGCTTAAATACATATGGACTAGAGGCCACCCGCGGTACTGCAGCTTAAATACATATAGACTAGAGGCCACCCGCGGTACTGCAGCTTAAATACATATGGACTAGAGGCCACCCGCGGTACTGCAGCTTAAATACATATGGACTAGAGGCCACCCGCGGTACTGCAGCTTAAATACATATGGACTAGAGGCCACCCGCGGTACTGCAACTTAAATACATATGGACTAGAGGCCACCCGCGGTACTGCAGCTTAAATACATATGGACTAGAGGCCACCCGCGGTACTGCAGCTTAAATACATATGGACTAGAGGCCATCAGCGGGACTGCAGCTTAAATCCACATGGACTTGGGGCCACCAGTGGGACTGCAGCTTAAATCCACATGGACTAGGGGCCACCAGCGGTTTACTCAAATGGGTGAGGATGTGAGGATTTTAGTGTCTCTTGTCGTCCTGACTGTTCTATAAATCCACACTTCAGGGCAACAAGCTTGTCTCCTTCTCTGGTGTCTCTCTGGTCTCTCTCTGGTTTCTCTCTGGTAACTCTCTCAGGTCTCTTTCTGATCTCTCTCTGGTCTCTCTCCCTGGTCTTTCTCTGGTCTCTCTCTCTGGTCTGACAAGACCAGAACCAGAGCTGACCAGAACACATCACTTCTTAGAGACGCCCATAGTCCGAGCATGAACCAATGAGCACAGGCCACTAATCTGAATGAGCGGACATCTTTGAGAGACCAGTGCAGACATCTTGGAGAGACCAGGGGCAGAGACCATGTTGGAGAGACCAGGGGCAGACATCTTGGAGAGACCAGAACAGACATCTTGGAGAGACCAGGGTCAGACACGTTGGCGAGACCAGGGTCAGACATCTTGGAGAGACCAGGGGCAGACATCTTGGAGAGACCAGGGGCAGACATCTTGGAGAGACCAGGGGCAGACATCTTGGAGAGACCAGGGGCAGACATCTTGGAGAGACCAGGGGCAGACATGTTGGCGAGACCAGGGCAGACATGTTGTGAGACAAAATGAATGAATGACATAACTCAGTGTGTGACTTTTATTAAGCTGTTTGTCTTGTGGTTTTGTCAATGTTTTTGTCCAACTCCGTCCTGTTGTAACTTATTCGGAGGTGGAGAAGCGTGGGACAGTTGCTTCCATTGTTTCTTATTATGGTGAAGCATAAATATTTTGTACAGATCGTTATTCTATTGCGTTTACTTGACTTGCACTTAAATAAACACATTTATGGTGCTCAACCATGTGTCACAAAGATTTATTACACACTGGCTCCGGATCAAGTCATTTCTGTTGAACACATCCAGAATACTAAGATAAGATAAACTTATACTAACTATAAGTTATTTAAATATTATCATTATTATTCTGGAAACACCTTACACACAATCACAGATAATTTATTTGAAATAAACAGAAACTAGAGTGAAAAACAAGTCTATGCTATGGTCTGCATCGTTCGTGTTTGAACTCAGAGGATTCTGTTGAAGCCAGAGCTCTGTCTCTGCCTCTGTCTCTGCCTCTGTCTGTCTCTGTCTCTGCCTCTGTCTCTGTCTCTGCCTCTGTCTGTCTCTGTCTCTGCCTCTGTCTCTGTCTCTTCCTCTCTCTGCCTCTGTCTCTGTCTCTGTCTCTCTCTCTGTCTCTGCCTCTGTCTCTGTCTCTGCGTCTGCCTCTGTCTCTCTCTGTCTGTGTCTCTGCCTCTGTCTCTGTCTCTGCCTCTGTCTCTGTCTCTCTCTCTCTGTCTCTGTTTCTGCGTCTCTCTCTGTCTGTCTCTGTCTCTGCGTCTCTCTCTGTCTGTCTCTGTCTCTCTCTGTCTCTGTCTCTGCCTCTGTCTCTGTCTCTGTCTCTGTCTCTGTCTCTCTGTCTCTCTGTCTCTGTCTCAGTGTAACATCCTCTTTCTTATCTGGACCAAAGAACACAAAGGATTCTGAAAATTCAGAACTCTGATTCTGCTTTCATTAACTTTAACTGGACAAGAGGTTTAGGGCCTGAGTCAAATCTTAAACATATCCGTCTGTTTTTCATTGAAACTACCCTTCACACACACACACACACTATATACAAATATTATATATATATATATGTATGTATATATAGTTATGTATAAGAACTGGCAGACCCAAAAATAAAAACATGGGTGAAGGCCGGGCTCAGGGGAATACGAAGGGACCAGGACCAGGACCAGGTGATTGTGCATATGGTGATCAGGTGGAGCGCAGGTGAGAGTGACCAGGAACCAGAACATGTGAGTCTGAGTCTGAGACCAGAGAGAGTCCAACCACTGAACCACAACATGTGAGACTGAGACCAGAGAGAGTCCAAACACAGCCAAAGGTCCTGTGGACACAGAGCAACACATCAATCATTCATCTGTTTGTTACAAAGTCATCATCAGCTTTAGATCCTGATTGTTTTACGTCACACACAGGTTACACAGACACACAAAGATCGACACACACACACACACAGATCACATCACACACAGGTTACACACAGACACACAGGTTACACACACAGATCGACACTCACACAGATTACACACACACACACAGATCGACACACACACACACATAGATATACACACACACACACGGCGGCCTCCAGGAGTTCAAGGACATGGCATTGGTTTACTCAGATCCCACCAAACTACACACACACACACACACACACACACACACACACACACACTTAAAGCCTAACTATCAACTCTCATTTATCCAACTCTGGAAAAATGAGAGAAGAAAATTCTAATGTTTTGAATCATTTTGAACAGAGCTCTTTTGTCTTAACCTCAGTGTTTTTTAACCTCAGTGTTTTTTAATCTCAGTGTTTTTTAAGTTAAAAGTGAAAAAGTTCCTGTTTCAGAGTTAAAACGTGCTCTGGTTTTGTTCCAGACAAACAAATATCGAAGTTATTTTCTGTGTAACGCGGCGAACATGGAATTTACTGTATAGCGTGTGTGGGTGGGATGCATTGATACACAGATAAGATATTAGGCGGGGGGGGGGGGGGGGGGTGTTAGTGGGTGGGGGTTATGGTCAGGAACAGACAGTTTAATGAATAACCCTCTCTCCCTGACCCTCGTCACTCTGAGTCCAAACACTTTAGGAAGATGCGGATCCTGCTCCAAAAGTGAAGAATACTTTTGACCAAAGTGGGATTTTAACAAAGACGCATCACGGTAAGAACTGTAACAGAGGGTACAGAGGCTGTGGGTACAGAGGCTGTGGGTACAGAGGCTGTGGGTACAGAGGCTGTGGGTACAGAGGCTGAGGGTACAGAGGCTGAGGGTACAGAGGCTGTGGGTACAGAGGCTGAGGGTACAGAGGCTGTGGGTACAGAGGCTGAGGGTACAGAGGCTGAGGGTACAGAGGCTGTGGGTACAGAGGCTGAGGGTACAGAGGCTGTGGGTACAGAGGCTGTGGGTACAGAGGCTGTGGGTACAGAGGCTGAGGGTACAGAGGCTGAGGGTATAGAGGCTGAGGGTATAGAGGCTGTGGGTACAGAGGCTGAGGGTACAGAGGCTGTGGGTACAGAGGCTGTGGGTACAGAGGCTGAGGGTACAGAGGCTGTGGGTACAGAGGTTGTGGGTACAGAGGCTGAGGGTACAGAGGCTGAGGGTACAGAGGCTGTGGCTACAGAGTCTATGGGTACAGAGGCTGTGGGTACAGGGGCTGTGGGTACAGAGGCTGAGGGTACAGAGGCTGAGGGTACAGAGGCTGAGGGTACAGAGGCTGTGGGTACAGAGGCTGTAGGTACAGAGGCTGTGGGTGCAGAGGCTGTGGGTACAGAGGCTGTGGGTACAGAGGCTGTGGGTACAGAGGCTGTGGGTACAGAGGCTGTGGGTACAGAGGCTGAGGGTACAGAGGCTGAGGGTACAGAGGCTGTGGGTACAGAGGCTGAGGGTACAGAGGCTGTGGGTACAGAGGCTGAGGGTACAGAGGCTGAGGGTACAGAGGCTGTGGGTACAGAGGTAGTAGTAGTAGTAGTAGTAGTAGTAATCTTTATTTATATACCGCCTTTTCACTGCACATCGGAGTCTCAAAGCGGTTTACAATTGTTATTTTTTGGGAGTGGGGGTGCCAGTACAGGAGGCACATGCCAGACCTATTGTACATATTTTTAGTGGTAGGGGAAACCGGAGCACCCGGAGGAAACCTACGCAGACACAGGGAGAACATGCAAACTCCACTCAGAAAGGCCCTGGTCCAACCGGGATTTGAACCCAGGACCTTCTTGCTGAGAGGCGAGAGTGCTATCCACTCAGCCACCGTGCCGCCCGGAGGCTGAGGGTACAGAGGCTGTGGGTACAGAGGCTGTGGGTACAGAGGCTGTGGGTACAGAGGCTGAGGGTACAGAGGCTGAGGGTATAGAGGCTGAGGGTACAGAGGCTGAGGGTACAGAGGCTGAGGGTATAGAGGCTGTGGGTACAGAGGCTGAGGGTACAGAGGCTGTGGGTACAGAGGCTGTGGGTACAGAGGCTGAGGGTACAGAGGCTGTGGGTACAGAGGCTGAGGGTACAGAGGCTGAGGGTACAGAGGCTGTGGCTACAGAGTCTATGGGTACAGAGGCTGTGGGTACAGGGGCTGTGGGTACAGAGGCTGTCGGTACAGAGGCTGTGGGTACAGAGGCTGAGGGTACAGAGGCTGTGGGTACAGAGGCTGTGGGTACAGAGGCTGAGGGTACAGAGGCTGTGGGTACAGAGGCTGAGGGTACAGAGGCTGTGGGTACAGAGGCTGTGGGTTGGTGGCTCTCGGGGGAAAACAGAGGTAATTAAATGTCGTAGTGAAGCGAAGGAGTTAAACTGAGAAAATGGAAGAAAGAAACTTGTCGCTTCAGTGATTCTGGAAACTGGTTTGAGATGGATCGAGTATTTTATCATTGAGCTTTGGGTCGTCTTCTGTGTCTCCTGCTTTTTATTGACCTGAAAAATAACATTTAAGAATTTACCTATCGGCATCGGAATAATTTAATGACATAAACTTTGACACTTGGAAAGAACAAAGAAGAGGAGCCCTGACTGTGGGACTGTGATCACAAACAGAAGTTTATACACGAAGGCATAGGACCGTGTTCCCCGGGGTGTCCTTTGGGGGCTTCCCTGGGAGTACGGGGTCCGGGGTCCTCTGCTGAGGGCCATCCGGTCCCTGTATGTCCGGAGCCAGAGCTGCGTTCATCAGTAGTAAGTCAGACCTGTTCCCGGTGTTGGTCTCCCCCAAGGCTGCCCTTCTGGGCGGCACGGTGGCTGAGTGGATAGCACTCTCGCCTCTCAGCAAGAAGGTCCTGGGTTCGAATCCCGGTCGGACCAGGGCCTTTCTGAGTGGAGTTTGCATGTTCTCCCCGTGTCTGCGTAGGTTTCCTCCGGGTACTCCGGTTTCCTACCACTAAAAATATGTCCAATAGTTCTAGCATGCGCCTCCTACTGGCGACCCTGCTCCCATCTCTGTGTGGAGTGAGAGACAAATGCCCAAAAATTAACAATTGTAAACCGCTTTGAGACTCAGATCTGTAGTGAAAAGGCGGTATATAAATAAAGATTACTTACTTACTTACTTACCCTTCGTCACCGGTTCTGTTCACTGTCTTTATGGACAGAATTTCTAAGCGTAGCCAGGGGCCGGAGGGGGTCCGGTTCAGAGACCACAGGATTTCATCTCTGCTGTTTGTGGATGATGTTGTCCTGTTGGCGCCAATGAACCAGGACCTGCAACATGCACTGGGACGGTTTGCAGCAGAGTGTGAAGCGGCTGGGATGAGAATCAGCACCTCCAAATCTGAGGCCATGGTGCTTGACTGGAAAAAGGTGCCTTACCCTCACCTGGTCCTGGTCCTCTCCAGGTCCTGGTCCTCACCAGGTGAAGTGGTTCTTCCTCAAGTGGAGGAGTTTACTGTAAGTATCTCTGGGTCTCGTTCACGAGTGAGGGAAGCCTGGAGCGTGAGATTGAGGCGGATTGGTGCAGCGTGTGCAGTGATGCGGTTGCTGTACCGGACCATCGTAGGGAAGAGGGAGCAGCGTCTGCAGTCAGAGCTGCATAGGACCGTTGTGGAAAAGAGGGAGCAGCGTCTGCAGTCAGAGATGTACCGGACCATCGTGGTGAAGAGGGAGCAGCGTCTGCAGTCAGAGCTGTATCGGACCATCGTGGTGAAGAGGGAGCAGCATCTGCAGTCAGAGCTCTATAGGACCGTTGTGGTGAAGAGGGAGCAGCATCTGCAGTCAGAGCTCTATAGGACCGTTGTGGTGAAGAGGGAGCAGTGTCTGCAGTCAGAGCTGAATCGGACTGTTGTGGTGAAGAGGAGCAGTGTCTGCAGTCAGAGCTGTATCGGACTGTTGTGGTGAAGAGGGAGCAGTGTCTGCAGTCAGAGCTGTATCGGACTGTTGTGGTGAAGAGGGAGCAATGTCTGCAGTCAGAGCTGTATAGGACCGTCGTGGTGAAGAGGGAGCAGCGTCTGCAGTCAGAGCTGTATCGGACTGTTGTGGTGAAGAGGGAGCAGCGTCTGCAGTCAGAGCTGTATAGGACCGTCGTGGTGAAGAGGGAGCAGCGTCTGCAGTCAGAGCTGTATCGGACTGTTGTGGTGAAGAGGGAGCAGCGTCTGCAGTCAGAGCTGTATAGGACTGTTGTGGTAAAGAGGGAGCTGAGCCGAAAGGCAAAGCTCTCGATTTACCGCTCAATCTTCGGTCCCTCCCTCACCTCTGGTCATGAGGGAGCAGCATCTGCAGTCAGAGCCCCCCTCCGCCACCTCTGGTCATGAGCTTTGGGTAATGACTGAAAGAATGAGATCGCGGATACAAGCGTCAAAATGAGCTTCCTCCGCAGAGTACAGCCGCTGCTCCCGTAGAGATAGAGGAGCTCAGTCATACGGGAGGAGCTTGGAGTAAAGCCGCTGCTCCCGTAGAGATAGAGGAGCTCAGTCATATGGGAGGAGCTTGGAGTAAAGCCGCTGCTCCCATAGAGATAGAGGAGCTTGGTGTAGAGCCACTGCTTCTCCACGTCGAGAGGAACCAGTTGAGGTAGTAGTAGTAATAGTAATCTTTATTTATATACCGCCTTTTCACTGCACATAGGAGTCTCAAAGCGGTTTACAATTGTTATTTTTTTTAGGGCATTTGTCTCTCACTCCACTCAGAGATGGGAGCGGGGCCAGTACAGGAGGCGCATGCCAGACCTATTGTACATATTTTTAGTGGTAGGGGAAACCGGAGTACCCGGAGGAAACCTACGCAGACACGGGGAGAACATGCAAACTCCACTCAGAAAGGCCCTGGTCCAACCGGGATTCGAACCCAGGACCTTCTTGCTGAGAGGCAAGAGTGCTATCCACTCAGCCACCGTGCCTCATCTGTTCAGGATGCCTCCTGGACGCCACCCTGGGGAGGCGTTTTGGGCACGTCCCACCGAGAGGAGACCAGGAGGAGACCCAGGACACAGAGGGACTATGTCTCTCAGCGAGCTGGAGGAAGTGTGTGAGAGGGAAGTCTGGGTGTCTCTGCTTAAAATGCTGCCCCTGTGAGGCCAGTCCCTGTGCTCCTCAGAGTCCCAGCAGGATTCCAGTCCCTGTGCTCCTCAGTGTCCCAGCAGGATTCCAGTCCCTGTGCTCCTCAGAGTACCAGCAGGAGGTCAGTCCCTGTGCTCCTCAGAGTCCCAGCAGGATTCCAGTCCCTGTGCTCCTCAGTGTCCCAGCAGGATTCCAGTCCCTGTGCTCCTCAGTGTCCCAGCAGGATTCCAGTCCCTGTGCTCCTCAGTGTTCCAGCAGGAGGCCAGTCCCTGTGCTCCTTGGTGTCCCAGCAGGAGGCCAGTCCCTGTGCTCCTCAGAGTCCCAGCAGGAGGCCAGTCCCTGTGCTCCTCAGAGTCCCAGCAGGATTCCAGTCCCTGTGCTCCTCAGAGTACCAGCAGGAGGTCAGTCCCTGTGCTCCTCAGAGTCCCAGCAGGATTCCAGTCCCTGTGCTCCTCAGTGTCCCAGCAGGATTCCAGTCCCTGTGCTCCTCAGTGTTCCAGCAGGAGGCCAGTCCCTGTGCTCCTCAGAGTCCCAGCAGGAGGCCAGTCCCTGTGCTCCTCAGAGTCCCAGCAGGAGGTCAGTCCCTGTGCTCCTCTGAGTCAGAGTTGGTTCCTATGTCAAAAGTCAGTACAAAACTGCAGTTCTTTATATTCCTGATTTTAAGTCAGAACAAAATGGAGAAAGTGAAGCTTCAACATTTGTTGTTGAGTTTCATTAAAGCTGATGTCTGTAAAGTTAGTTTCCTTTCCTTATAATATCCATCCATCCATTTTCTACCCTTTAATCCATTTCTGGGTCAGGGGGGTGGCAGTCAGAGATGCCACCCAAGTCTCATAGCACCAGCCCCTCACTGACCCTCTGCAGGTGGTGAGTCCACAGGAGGACGGCTGCTCTCTGAGTGTGAGCATAGCCTTGATCTTTCAGTGGGGGCTTTTGGGCAAAGTGGGGTTAAGTGTCTTGCCCAAGGACACAACGACAGCAGTCATCAGTGGGAGTCGGTGGAGAAGGTGTAGAGGTAGGAATTGAACCCTCGACCTTCAGGCCTGAAGGCCAATGCTCTACCAACTGAGCTACTGTCGCCCGTAATAATAAACGTTGATAAATGATAAGAAACTACAGGTTGAGTTCTTTGGTTGTTTTTACAGAGAACCTTTGATCCATTTCTTCAGTGGAATCTTTTGAACTTCCGCTTGACCTGGAGCCGGAGAACAGAGGCAGCACAGGAGGTTCTGAATGAACGAGTGGATGGGCCCCGACCTCAGTGTGGCAGCGCTACACAACGATGACTTCACTCTGTCTGAGACCTCACACCTGTTCGGTAACACACACAACACACACACGCAGACACACAACACACACATACAATACACACAGACACACACACAACGACACACACACAACACAACACAGATGTCACATGCTAATCACAGTTATCATGCTAATGACAGTTGAATAATATGCTAATAATATGCTAACAACAGTTTAATAACATGCTAATATCATGCTAATAACAGTTTAATAACAGTTTAACAACATCATGCTAACAACAGTTAACCTGCTAATATCATGCTAACAACAGTTTAATATCATGCTAACAACAGTTAACATGCTAATATCTTGCTAACAACAGTTGAATAAGTTAAAACCACAGATTTAAACCAGAACGTGTCGGTAGCAAAGTCTCAGATGTCGTTTGTCAACATCAATCGTTGCTACTTGTAATAAAAGAGAAATCAGTGGTTAATGTTTAGCTTCTTCAACCTTTACACTTCGTGGTTTCTGATCCTGAAGCCAGGATTCTTCAGCCTCAACACGGTACGAGGAAAAACTACTCTTTGGAGAAATCAAAAGTGTTTTTATGGAAAGGACATAGATCTGAGATGGTTCTGGTTCAAAGGTCAGTGTCAGATCTAACTCTTTACCAGCAGCTAATGTGAGCTGTTGTTTGCATGTTCTGCCTGTGTCGCAGCCTCTCATTCTAACAGGGTTTTCACACCGACCAAAACCTGGAGTGAGCTTTATTTGTTTCTACAGTTTCTCAGTCGTCTTTGAACAGAATCATAAACTGTTCATGATCAGAGCCTGGGCCTCATTTAAAGAACAGAAACATAGTAATTCATAGTGACTTGAATGTAGAACAGACCTGTGCAAACGGTGGCCTGGGGGCCACATGCGGCCGCCGGACCCTCCTCTGTCGGCCCATCTTTAGCTTTGTTCCAGTTCTGGTTCAAACAAAACCAAAAAATAAAATCAAAAATCAATATATATAAATTAATAGTTATGAAGAGTAACATAAAGTAACTGGTGGTAATAGTAATATAATTGTATAATAGTTACAATATTGATTATGTTAAAACGATAATGTTATGTTTTGTTCGATAATGTCCAACAAAACATTAGCCACAAACGCAAAGAAAACACTGGATATTTTGGCTCCATGTTTTCTCTCTTCTATATATTAGTTTATAAAATAGTGACCACATGAATCCTCTGATGAAGAAAGAGTTGGTTCAATGAAGTATTTACAGTTTCCACTTTCTGTTGGATGTTGCTGCTAGACCTCCTCTACCGCAGACAACTGCATGTCAGCCGACCATGTCTTCTGCTAGAGGGAAGAAGCTGGAACATGGCTCTTCCAGAGGCCAGAAGAGTCATGGCTTATTCTAAGATCTGGATTTAAGTCTGGATTCATAAAGAACCTCCAGAACAGACAGATCACAGTCTCTCTGGTCTCTCTCTGGTCTCCCTCTGGTCTCTATCGGGTCTCATTTCAATCTGAAGAGACCAAAGACACAAGTAATACATTAAAATGATCGCTGCAGTGACACTTGCAGCAATGAGATCGATTGCAGCTGAAGATGATCTCAGATCCCCCGGGGTCAAGCACTGGTGGTGGTTCAAGTATGGTGTGAATGGGGCGTAGGCGGAGCAGGAGCCAGAGCTGGAGCCAGAGCTGGAGCCAGAGCAGGAGCCAGAGCGGGAGCCTAGAGCGGGAGCCAGAGCAGGAGCCAGAGCGGTAGCCAGAGCGGTAGCCAGAGCGGTAGCCAGAGCGGTAGCCAGAGCAGGAGCCAGAGCGGTAGCCAGAGCGGTAGCCAGAGCGGTAGCCAGAGCGGTAGCCAGAGCAGGAGCCAGAGCGGGAGCCAGAGCAGGAGCCAGAGCGGGAGCCTAGAGCGGGAGCCAGAGCAGGAGCCAGAGCGGTAGCCAGAGCGGTAGCCAGAGCGGTAGCCAGAGCGGTAGCCAGAGCGGTAGCCAGAGCAGGAGCCAGAGCGGGAGCCAGAGCAGGAGCCAGAGCGGGAGCCTAGAGCGGGAGCCAGAGCAGGAGCCAGAGCGGTAGCCAGAGCGGGAGCCTAGAGCGGGAGCCAGAGCAGGAGCCAGAGCGGTAGCCAGAGCGGTAGCCAGAGCGGTAGCCAGAGCGGTAGCCAGAGCGGGAGCCAGAGCAGGAGCCAGAGCGGGAGCCAGAGCAGGAGCCAGAGCGGGAGCCTAGAGCGGGAGCCTAGAGCGGGAGCCAGAGCAGGAGCCAGAGCGGGAGCCTAGAGCGGTAGCCAGAGCGGGAGCCAGAGCGGGAGCCAGAGCGGGAGCCAGAGCAAGAGCCAGAGCGGGAGCCTAGAGCGGGAGCCTAGAGCGGGAGCCAGAGCAGGAGCCAGAGCGGTAGCCAGAGCGGGAGCCTAGAGCGGTAGCCAGAGCGGGAGCCAGAGCGGGAGCCAGAGCAGGAGCCAGAGCGGTAGCCAGAGCGGGAGCCAGAGCGGTAGCCAGAGCGGTAGCCAGAGCGGGAGCCAGAGCGGGAGCCAGAGCGGGAGCCAGAGCGGGAGCCAGAGCAAGAGCCAGAGCGGGAGCCTGTGTGATTGGTTGGCTTGGAAGGGGGAATTTGTACTCGGTCTTTCAGTTTTGAATTTGCGCGTTCAGCTTCATATATAATATAATGGTTGCTCTTGTGTGTGTGTAGATATCCTGGTGGACCAGGCCAGCCCTCTCCTGCAGGACCAGGACATGTTCCCCTTCAGCAGTTGTGGGGGGGGGCAGTACCCGCCCCTGGACCCCCACCTGCCCCCCCCGTCTCAATACTGCTCCAGCCACAGCTACTACCCCCAGCACCACAGCGGGGACGAGTGGTACACACACACGGGCCTCTACGAGCTGAGGAAGAGCCCCCTGGACCTGGGCTACGAGGAGCTGGAGGAGGTCCCTGTGGTCTGCAAGAGGAGTAGGCACCTCCTGGGGGGGCGCGGGAGGGGGGAGGAGCTGTGTGTGGTCTGTGGGGACAAGGCATCGGGGTACCACTACAACGCCCTGACCTGCGAGGGCTGCAAAGGTGAGAGTCCCAGCAGGAGGCCAGTCCCTGTGCTCCTCAGAGTCCCATATGGCTCTAACATGTGTCAGATGTAAAATACATACATATATACAGTATATATAATATATATATATATATATATATATATATATATATATATATATATATATATATATATATATATATATATATATGTATGCGTGTGTGTATATATACTGGAGCACACATAGTACAGCTACTATGAGTAACTTCACTCTGGTGTGGGACACTGGCTGCAGTGCTGCGTCCTGAGACCCGGTCCCTGTGACCCGGTCCCTGTGACCCGGTCCCTGTGACCCGGTCCCTGTGACCCGGTCCCTGTGACCCGGTCCCTGTGACACGGTCTCTGTGAACTCTGCTGCGGGCGACTAGTGTCCGGTGTCCTCTCAGCTTTCTGCAGCACAATGTAGAAGCAACACGAGCCCAGTGTCTATGGCTAATGTTCTGTGTGGATGTTCCATGGGAGGGCATCAGGAGCTTTCACAAACACGTGTAGAACAGAAGTTGTCTCTGAGGACTGTAGACCCAGGACTGAAGCTGTAGACCCAGGACTGAGACTGTAGACCCAGGACTGAGACTGTAGACCCAGGACTGAGGCTGTAGACCCAAGACTGAGGCTGTAGACCCAGGACTGAGACTGTAGACCCAGGACTGAGGCTGTAGACCCAAGACTGAGGCTGTAGACCCAGGACTGAGACTGTAGACCCAGGACTGAGGCTGTAGACCCAGGACTGAGGCTGTAGATCCAGGACTGAGACTGTAGACCCAGGACTGAGACTGTAGACCCAGGACTGAGACTGTAGACCCAGGACTGAGGTTGATTGGTCTGTTGTTGTTTAAAGTCATGTATCAGTGAAGTTCCTGGAGCAGAACAAACACAGACTGTGATGATGTCACTGTGATGATGTCACTGTGATGATGTCACTGTGATGATGTCACTGTGATGATGTCAGGGGGACGTCCTTCAAAACTGTTGTTTATAGAAATACAGCACAAGGAGAACTCGTCTGAAATAATCTGTATTTCCGTCTTCGTCAGTTCATGATCTCCATCTTTTGTCGTAGGTTTTTTCCGCCGCAGCATCACGAAGAATGCTGTGTACAAATGTAAAAGTGGAGGGAACTGTGAGATGGACATGTACATGCGGCGGAAGTGTCAGGAATGCAGACTCCGGAAGTGCAAAGAGATGGGAATGTTGGCAGAGTGTGAGTCTCACTACACCTCTATATGTATGGATTGGTCGCTGCACGAGTGACCCAAGGAAACGTTCCCGATTTTTCACTCCTGCACCTCTGCCACACAGTCCGTGCTTCTCTACCTCAGTCCAAGCTCCTCCGCCGCCCAGTCCGTTTGTCTCTACCGCCCAGTCCATGCCTCTCTACCGCCCAGTCCGTTTGTCTCTACCGCCCAGTCCATGCCTCTCTACCGCCCAGTCCGTTTGTCTCTACCGCCCAGTCCATGCCTCTCTACCGCCCAGTCCGTTTGTCTCTGCCGCCCAGTCCGTGCCTCTCTGCCGCCCAGTCCGTTTGTCTCTGCCGCCCAGTCCGTGTGCCTCAGCCGCCCAGTCCGTTTGTCTCTACCGCCCAGTCCGTGTGCCTCTGCCGCCCAGTCCGTTTGTCTCTACCGCCCAGTCCGTGTGCCTCTGCCGCCCAGTCCGTTTGTCTCTACCGCCCAGTCCATGCCTCTCTACCGCCCAGTCCGTGTGCCTCTGCCGCCCAGTCCGTGCCTCTGCCGCCCAGTCCGTTTGTCTCTGCCGCCCAGTCCGTGCCTCTGCCGCCCAGTCCGTTTGTCTCTACCGCCCAGTCCATGCCTCTCTACCGCCCAGTCCGTTTGTCTCTACCGCCCAGTCCATGCCTCTCTACCGCCCAGTCCGTTTGTCTCTACCGCCCAGTCCATGCCTCTCTACCGCCCAGTCCGTTTGTCTCTACCGCCCAGTCCATGCCTCTCTACCGCCCAGTCCGTTTGTCTCTGCCGCCCAGTCCATGCCTCTCTACCGCCCAGTCCGTTTGTCTCTGCCGCCCAGTCCATGCCTCTCTACCGCCCAGTCCGTTTGTCTCTGCCGCCCAGTCCGTGCGCCTCTGCCGCCCAGTCCGTTTGTCTCTGCCGCCCAGTCCATGCCTCTCTACCGCCCAGTCCGTTTGTCTCTACCGCCCAGTCCATGCCTCTCTACCGCCCAGTCCGTTTGTCTCTGCCGCCCAGTCCGTTTGTCTCTGCCGCCCAGTCCATGCCTCTCTACCGCCCAGTCCGTTTGTCTCTGCCGCCCAGTCCGTGCGCCTCTGCCGCCCAGTCCGTTTGTCTCTGCCGCCCAGTCCATGTCTCTCTACCGCCCAGTCCGTTTGTCTCTACCGCCCAGTCCATGCCTCTCTACCGCCCAGTCCGTTTGTCTCTGCCGCCCAGTCCGTGTGCCTCAGCCGCCCAGTCCGTGCCTCTCTGCCGCCCAGTCCGTGCCTCTCTGCCGCCCAGTCCGTTTGTCTCTGCCGCCCAGTCTGTGTGCCTCTGCCGCCCAGTCCGTTTGTCTCTGCCGCCCAGTCCGTGTGCCTCAGCCGCCCAGTCCATGCCTCTCTACCGCCCAGTCCGTGTGCCTCTGCCGCCCAGTCCGTTTGTCTCTACCGCCCAGTCCGTGTGCCTCTGCCGCCCAGTCCGTTTGTCTCTACCGCCCAGTCCATGCCTCTCTACCGCCCAGTCCGTTTGTCTCTGCCGCCCAGTCTGTGTGCCTCTGCCGCCCAGTCCGTTTGTCTCTGCCGCCCAGTCCGTGTGCCTCAGCCGCCCAGTCCATGCCTCTCTACCGCCCAGTCCGTGTGCCTCTGCCGCCCAGTCCGTGTGCCTCTGCCGCCCAGTCCGTTTGTCTCTACCGCCCAGTCCATGCCTCTCTACCGCCCAGTCCGTGTGCCTCTGCCGCCCAGTCCATGCCTCTCTACCGCCCAGTCCGTGCCTCTGCCGCCCAGTCCGTTTGTCTCTGCCGCCCAGTCCGTTTGTCTCTGCCGCCCAGTCCGTTTGTCTCTGCCGCCCAGTCCATGCCTCTCTACCGCCCAGTCCGTTTGTCTCTGCCGCCCAGTCCGTGCGCCTCTGCCGCCCAGTCCGTTTGTCTCTGCCGCCCAGTCCATGCCTCTCTACCGCCCAGTCCGTTTGTCTCTACCGCCCAGTCCATGCCTCTCTACCGCCCAGTCCGTTTGTCTCTGCCGCCCAGTCCGTGTGCCTCAGCCGCCCAGTCCGTGCCTCTCTGCCGCCCAGTCCGTTTGTCTCTGCCGCCCAGTCTGTGTGCCTCTGCCGCCCAGTCCGTTTGTCTCTGCCGCCCAGTCCGTGTGCCTCAGCCGCCCAGTCCATGCCTCTCTACCGCCCAGTCCGTGTGCCTCTGCCGCCCAGTCCGTTTGTCTCTACCGCCCAGTCCGTGTGCCTCTGCCGCCCAGTCCGTTTGTCTCTACCGCCCAGTCCATGCCTCTCTACCGCCCAGTCCGTGCCTCTGCCGCCCAGTCCGTTTGTCTCTGCCGCCCAGTCCGTTTGTCTCTGCCGCCCAGTCCGTTTGTCTCTGCCGCCCAGTCCGTGCCTCTCTACCGCCCAGTCCGTTTGTCTCTACCGCCCAGTCCGTTTGTCTCTACCGCCCAGTCCGTTTGTCTCTACCGCCCAGTCCGTTTGTCTCTACCGCCCAGTCCGTTTGTCTCTACCGCCCAGTCCGTTTGTCTCTGCCGCCCAGTCCGTGTGCCTCTGCCGCCCAGTCCGTGTGCCTGCGTCTCTACCACCCAGTCCGTGCATCTCTGCCGCGAAGTCCGTGCGTCTCTGCCGCCCAGTCCGTGCGTCTCTGCCGCGCAGTCCGTGCGTCTCTGCCGCGCAGTCCGTGCGTCCCGAGATGCACATGCAGTTCCGCGCTCGAACGCACGTCACCACTGACTTTGCAGTGAAAGTCGCCGCAGCACGATCCGGGTTGAACGCAGCATTAAACCCTGCTGCTTCAGACGAGTGTGGAGAGGGAAGGGTCTCTCTGCCTTTACAACCCGGCAATGGATGAAGTAGAAGAAACCTGATGGATGAATGGATAATATGTGTGCCTTTTTAAGAAAAACTATTGTTATTTGGCTCCAATGTATTTGTAGTTGCTTTTCCTACTTTTCCAATTGTTATTTACACATTAAGTCTGATACATGTTGAAAATGGATCCTTGAGGACTACATCTACTTCAGGATCAAGCTAAGATCATGTTAAGATCATGTTAAGATCATGTTAATCATTCTCAAATGAAGAAGTACTTTTGACAGTTTCCATTAGAAGTGTGTAATGTGAGTCCAGGTGTCGCCTTCCTCCTGCTCATGCTCCGTCGCAGAGATCTGGGAACTTATTAAAGCTGATGAGGGTCAAGCTTTTGTTGCTGAAACAACAGTGGATTTAGCACCAGTTCAATCCATTAATAATAATGTCTGTGAACGTTCTCCTCGATTCAGACTCAAACTAAAATACAAGAGTTACTCGACTATTCTATGTAAAGCTACAAAGAGCATAAATATAAAAAAACTAAATATTGTACGATCCTACAGAGATCTTAAAGAGCGATGATAAGAATGTGGAAGGTCTGGGTCTTAAAGCTTAGACTGTATGTATTTTTCTTTCATTAAAGAAGAAAAAAGTCAGAAACAAACCCATTCTCAGGCTCAATCTGATAAAGAATGGTTTGTATGTGTCGTATATTAGTGTTTTAAATGTAGTCTTATGTGGACGGAGCGGACAGACTCCTGTTGCTCATGAATACTACAGTATTCTTGTGATTAATATTTCAGACTGCTCCATTTACCTCTTGTCTGTTTACCATAATTACACCGTCACTTTTAGCCATAACTTTTCTCCCACAGGTCTCCTCACAGAAATACAGTGCAAATCCAAAAGGCTCCGGAAAAACCCAAAGTCCTCTCCACGATCCATGGGAGATGACACAGAGGGAGCAGAGCAAACAGACAGCAAACAGGTCACCTCCACCACCTCCTCCTCCACCTCCACCACCTCCACCACCTCCTCTACCAAGCTGCTCAAGGTCTGTGCTGACATGGGCATGCTGGCAATGCTAACAACCATGTTATAACCATGCTAACAACCATGCTAACAACCATGTTATAACCATGCTAACAACCATGTTATAACCATGCCAACAACCATGTTATAACCATGCTAACAACCATGCTAACAACCATGCTATAACCATG